GGATATACCACGAGCATCGAATCAATCGAACTGAATTACTAATCACATATGCCAGGACACAATTTGAGCCAGTTTAAAATGCATGAGGCATCTGTGGGGGTCGTCTAATGACTGAATGCATTTAGAAAGCCACTTCAAAGGCCTAATTAGTCTGGGAAAATCTAATTCAAGGTGTCTTCTGGGGATTTCCACGGGAAAAGTTCAACCAAGGCATCTGAAAAGCTTCCTGAAAGTGATACAAACCTCGAGTTAAGTCTCAACTTATTTGCTTGATTAGAGAACGTTTTCAGCTTCTATTAGATTACCTTGCACTCACCATTTTCTTCACAGCAGCTAATTATAAAACTTGCCTTGGCCAAAGCTAATACTTTCACTGGCCATTGTTGATTGATGTCTCCGAGCAGCTGAAATTTCGTAATTTAAATGATGGGTTCTGCGGTGGCAAGTGCACAGGGAGCAGCTGCTTTCTGGCATGGAAAATTGCCTGTGTGTTTTCAGAACTCTGCAAAAAGTTGGGGATAGAAACAAGGCAAATGAAAAATATAAATACCCACCCATTTATAAGCGGCGGGGAGACATTGAGGGAACCTCGAGTGCCTCTGGGAGAACTTGGGCATTTAGACGCCATTTGCCGGGATTACCACTCTCTTATGCATCTTTAGTTTTTGGGCCAAAAGTTCCACAAAACATTTCCCTTTGACTGCAACCATTTAGACAAAACTGTTTTGCACCACCCACCGGGATCCCACCAAGACCTTGAACCACTCGCACAATAAAAGTGAATGCCAGAAATGCCAGAAAGCACAGTCCCATGGTTCCAGCTGTGTGATATTTCGCAGCTTGGGCCGGCATAAAAGGAGCATAAACGGATTTTATTATCCTTTTGCCCTTTTAGAGAATGTAATCTGAATTAAGTACTGAGTACTGAGACGAAGTTATGGCAAAGTTTACTTATTTTTAGGGTTCAGTTAGAGAGCAAACATATATTTACCATAAACTACTCTCCACGGAGTAAGTTTTTGAGGCAAAGTTTAGTAGATGCTATTTTTAGAATTTTTGTTAGAGTCATAAATAATAAAAATAATTGTTAAAAGTCTTGTTTAACTTTATAATTAAATCAGTATTGATTGGGACTGTTTCTTTTAGTGATCGTATTTTATTAAAGATAAACAACGACATCATTATTAATGGCTGGTCATTATTTTTGCTTCGACAAATGCTTCGTGTCAATGAAGCAGACCCAAATCAATTAAATATCCATTATGCAAATAAATTTACCGCATCCCTCTCCATGCATATTTATGTGGCAACACGAGAAACCGCAGGACTAACCAAAATAGAATTTTTTGGCAGCCACAATGCCCAAGAGTAAACAAGTGGCGACAGGCGAAATATTGCTGTGTTGTGATTGAGGATTTCCATATTTACTTAGGACACATTTTCAGTGGGATGCCGGCAAAGAGCTAAATATAAACCCACATAGAAATGGGGGAAAAAAGAGTTGAAAGCCGGTGAAACGATTTTAATGTCCAGCCGAAAGTTAGGCTACCAACACTTCTGGATAAAGTTCATCGAGTGGGGATTTGTAAGCATCGCGTGCTGTGGGACAAACCCAAAATATGTTGCATGCTCTGCACTTAGATTATGTAAGTTTTTGGCTGCCAACAGGATGCAATTTCATGTCACGGACTTTTAGTCGAATAGCAGGCAAACAACAGGGAACATTTCACGAAAGCCGCAGACAATCGAACTGAAAATCAGGGCGGACATTCATAACCGGAAATGCGTTGTTTGTGAGCGGTGGTTCAATGGCACCGGAAGAGAATCAAAGGACAGTTCACTTCCGGAATGAGCACTCATTGTTGGTGGAGAAAGCCAATAATGGCAATCATATGTATTGATCAAAAACTGAGGTATCAATATAAGTATTATTTAGATTACGCTAAACTGCTTTGGAGTAATAATCAGCTAGCTAAAAGTGAAAAAATAGTTAACATTTCATTGAAGATAAATTCTATTAAAGGGAAAAAGAACCAAAGGAAGTGAAACAACTAGCCACAACACAAAAAGAATGCAATTGTAAAACAATTTCAATTTTATTGTCTTACTTTCTTGGGTTTTTCTTTGTTTTCGATTTCGTTTGTTCTGCTTAAATTTCAGACATTCAATTGAACTCGGGTTCAAAGCATTTTATGTTGCCAGTAAAGTCAAAATGGCAAAGTCCATAAACTTAATAAATGTTTTGGAAATTACGCGCGAAAACTTCATTATAATTCCATTTTTCGCATATAGTGTCAATAAAATTTACGACATTTTGTTTGCGCTGGCTGCAACAATTAAAATTTCATTAATGGCGTAAAATAAATTATAAAGTGCACAAAATGCGCATAGTCCATTAATAATCCGATGGCGAGAAATAATGTTTGCGAGCCAGAAATGCGTTTGTCCTGGCGAAGCTTACCAAATAATAAGGTTATTGATAAACAAAAACCGTTGGTAATTTATTAAAAGTTATTTTAGTATTAAAGACTTTTCCTTTGAATTAAACTTGTAGAGTGTTTTTCCTCGCTTAATTCTGTATTTAAGTAAACTTAACTGCAGTAATGGTGAAAAAAAGGCTTACATCCTTTTAAATTTCTCTCTGTAAATTTAGAAAGTCAATCCCCTGAATCATTTGAATGTTACGACGATGGAGAGCAAAGAAAAATTCTCGAATTCATTTGTTCTTTCAGCAATTTTCGTATAATTGCTCAAAGGGAATTAATTAGAGGAGCAATTGGATTTCAAGAACTTAAAGCAAATATAAATCTTAATAAAATGATTGAAAAATAGGGTTTATCTGCCCCGAGTCCGAGGTTAAGTCCGAGAATCGCCCGGCGGTGGCAAATGCAACAAAGTGTTCAATAAATTATGCCCTTGCCATTGTTTGTGCCACAAAAGAAGTGGCTGCTGCAGCGGCAACAGCAATCGATTTGTCTTAGCCGCTGCACACGTCCAACATGTCGTATGTGTAACAAGTGTAGCACATAAATTGCCAAGGTTGCAGGACTATGGCGATTGAGGCGGTGTAGCGTGGGGGGCGTGGCATGCAACGTCTTGGGGCAGCCACAAAATAAATAAAATAAAAGCAAAAGTGTTTTGCCCGTAAAGTTTTGTGCACTTTTCGCAGATATGCTGGATTTGATTTATACGAAAACATGGCAAGTTTGTGATACCATTTATAAAGTTGCATGATGCAATTTGTTTGTCTGTGGTAAAACATTTATTTACAGCTGCAGGTTTGTTTACAGACGCCCAGGTGTTACGCTCAGTCAAAGTTTAATTATTTTAAAATTTCTAAATATTAATCCAAATTGTCACAGCCAAATTAAGCTTCAATAATAAATATATTGATGTCAAACTGACCCCCATATCAAATATTGTCATGACGTTTTTTTATTTAAAACCATATTAATGTTTCACAAATAATTTCTTTTTCCTGTTAAGAATCAATCACATATTGTTCGAAATATATGAAATATTTTTGTTTCGTTATCGCAAATTTTGCCTCTGGGCAAAAGTACTTAACACACCTACGCTGTGAATCTGAATTTGAGTCTGTATTTTTCACATTCACACCCAAAAAAGTTTTAGTTTGCCAGCATTTCTATTTGGGTCATTGGGGATTTACTGGGCCCAAAAACTTTTCATATGCTCTTGCCAACTGAAAAAGGTTCAAACTTTTCAATTGGCAGCTTAAATTTTGCAGATATTTCCGATCCACTTTAAAATTTTGTATGCCTTTGCCAATGTTTGCTGTCTGCCGAGACGGTTTGTATTTTAAATTGATTTAATGTACGGGGGCAGTGACTTTTTTACATATATAAATAGAGCTTATCTGCCCGAGGAGTCAAAATCTGGCTTACAGGTGGCTACTCATTACATATAATTAAATTGAGCGGCTTTGCGTCGCCCAAAGAAGGCTAATTGATTTGGCTCACAGCAGAAACACATATGTACATTTCCGAGTGCAAGGCTCAGAGGGAAATGTTCCTAAACGAATTTGCTATCTATTTGCAACATGACTGCGGGTAAAATAATGGAATTTCCGCTTCCTCCCCGCGCCGGAAGTTTCGTATGGGGGCACAAAAAGCTTGGCAAAATGCATTGCGGAGCAAAGCCCAAAAGTGTCGAAGATGCAGAAAGGCCACGGGGACCCCAGACTATAGCGGCAGTAAGTCAGCCAAAATTCCAAGAAGTCCTTGTCTATATACTTCATGGCTGTGCGAGTGTTTGTGTGTATTTTGGCTGCAAGTAACGACGCTTTCAAGGCTGGAATTATGTCTGTGCCAGAAAATATGTTGGCAGTCTGAAACAACTTCAAAGAGATTAAAGCGAACGGCTACAAAGTGAAAATTATAGTAGGAATTAAGTTAGTCACCTTGAGGCGCTTTTGTTTTTTAAGAAATGCGTACAATTTACTCAAAACACCAGAACACTTTTAAATGATTGCACTTCAATTAAAGAATTAAGCTAAAAGTAGAATTCTCTTAAAACACGATAATTTGGTACTTCAACCAAAATATAACAAAATTAAAATTTTCTTGCTGTTTTAATGTATTTTTCTGTCTTATCTTTTTTTATAAATATTTGATAATTACTAAGAATCAAATGTCTGATTTTAAAAACTATTAAATTTGTTAATTCCAATTTATTAAATGGACTATTAAAACTTGTCTATACATCCTTAAACTTGTATGGTCATTTGTTATAACAAATAACTTAGTAAATTAAATGAACACTTAGGCACTTAAGCTACATATAATTTGTTACAGCCTGCTTTCAAACCAGAATTGAAGGCCATGTATATTAGGTTTGGGTCTTGACTAACGTAAAATAGTTTAGTGAGAAGTTTGGTCTCAAAGCTTTTCAGGCAATTTTCCTGCCAATTTCAGCATAGGTTGCCCAGGGCTGTGTACATTTTCCGTTGATTTTAAAACAGCTAATTTTAATATCTTTTGACCTCCCCAAAAAGTAATTATATTTCAAATTAAATACATTTTAAGCCTAAGTAACTAACCAATTATATCACCGAAGAGCTCGTCGGATGACCGTGCTCAGGGTCACAAAGAAGGCGAGGAGCAGGAGGATTACAAACACCCCCAGGACAGCCATATCCCAACCGAACTCGTCGCCCTGCATCGCAAAGTCCTTGAGGAACTGATCCGCCGTCCTGTAGTAACAGAAATTCATAGCGGCATGGCACTCCAATTCCCCTCGATCATATCCATAAATGGCCCTCATCAAGCCCTCGAAGATGTATCTGAAGAAGGACACATCGCAGATGGGACGCAGGAACCAGGAGAGCTCGCTCAGCCGGATGAAGAAGCCGGAGAAGAGGAGGAACGGAATCGTGGCACTCGGCACCAGGAATATGGCCAGCTGCATGGGGAACAGCGATCCCGCAATCACACCGATAAAGTGGCCAATGAAAGCGGTCATCACACAGATGCCCCAGCACATGGCAAATCGATGGAACTCCGGCGGCTGACCCGTCATAAAGTATCCGATGCTGATAAACATTGTGGGGCAGGTCAGCTGTAGGGGAAGATCGGCCAGGACCTTGGAGAGATAGTAGGCTCCCAGGGAATACCATCCATTGTAGTACTCCCTGATGAACACCGCTGAGTCCTGCATGCAGAGCAGAATGGAGGGCATTGCATTGCCGGCGAACACGAACAGGATTATGAAAAACAGGCAGGACACATTGGACACTATCTTCCCCGCATCGCCACCTATCTGCCAGTAGACCACGCCGAGCAGCAGCGCCACTACCACGTGCATCACCAGTCGCATCTGGACGGCAACCTGGAAAATTGAAAGATATAATATATTAACGCCTCAAAGAAAAATGTCCAAAATAACACTCACCATATCCCTGGACATGGAGCGCAAATGGCGGCGAAGGAGCACGCTCAGCTGGAACCAGAAGCCAACCTGCTCCTTACCACGCAGGTCGGCCAAGTCCAAAGTCTCCTGATGAACATCCATGAGTGCTGCTGGAATAAAATTAGAGCAGGCAAAGAAAAGCGAAAGATAGAGCAGAGAAAGTGCAGTAGAGGAAAAAACGAGTGCAGGAGCGCGAAATAAGGATCTGTATGAGATAAACCATCTTGAGAACCATCCCGTCCATCATCACTTACTCTCCTCATCCACTTGCAACTTCACAATGTTGCTGGAGTTGCAATATATCATCTTGTTTTGAGTTATGAGCGATTCGCAGCGTTCGGAGGTGGAGGATTGACTGCACACTTCCAGCGCTATAAATAAATAAGTTATGTTAAAAAATGGATTAAGGACTTCCTAGGAGCTTACCAAAATCCGCAGGATTATAGTACTGTGGACAGATGTGACCGAAGGTTGCAAACGTGCCCAACATTTCCCGCTGTTCGCCGGCATAGAGAACCTCTCCGTGTGCCAAAACCAGGACGTCATCGAAAAGCTGGAAAAGTCGCGAGCCCGGCTGATGCACAACACAGACCACTATCCTGCCATCGTGGGCTAGTTGTTGCAAGTGGCAGATCACCTGGTAGCTGGCCACACAATCCAGTCCACTGGTGGGTTCATCAAAGAACATAACGGGTGGATTCGTGACCAGTTCAATCCCAATGGACAGGCGCTTGTGTTCGCCTCCAGATATATTCCTTACCAAAGTTTTGCGACAGGATTGCAGCTGCAGTATGTCGATAATATCGTCTATCTGGGAATTGTGGCATTAGATTTGTATATTTTTTGTATGGTAACTTCTACCTACAGTTTTTTGTTTGTCCTCAGGATTCGTGGAACTGGGCATCTTAAGGTCAACGGAAACTCGCAATGTCTCCTCAACAGTGAGAAGATTCAGCATTACAAAATCCTGGGCAATGTAGGCTGACATTTTCCGAAACGACTGCATATCCCTGGGTTTACCATTTAAGAGAAACTGCCCTGAAACTCCTTGGAGTCTGTAAATGAGAGAAAATTAATATATAAGATAAGCCAAAATATATATAATTTAAAATTGAATTTAAAAATGTTCTTACTTTCTTAAGTTTGGCTAGCAAATATAATTTACTCACTTGAATCCTGCCAAAGCATTGAGCAATGTGGATTTTCCGGCTCCCGAGGGACCCAGAATGGCCGTCAATCGTCCTGATTTGAAGACCCCGCATGCCTCGTTTAGAATTGGTGTTGAGCCCTTCGCTGCTCCCTTCAATGAGTAGCTAACTTGGCTAAAATGCAATTCCAGCGCCTGTTGCTTTTGGGCCAGGCCATTCGCCTGAATTTGTACCGCGTTATCGGACATTTGACGGCGGCTGATTATTGTTTATTAACCAGATACCCGAGCGGAGAGTTGCTTTTATTCGATTTTTGATTATGCGGGGGACTGAACATTAAGCCGGTCAACAAGCCAGTGAACTGAACTGCCGATTGCTCAACTTTTAATAAATGCAGAATAAGTGGGCTGCTAATGACTGTTACATTTGGGAGCTTTGACTTATCTTCCGAATGACCGTTTGGCAGAGTCGCGGATAATCTTATCGCTTAAGGTTGGATGGATTGGATCAAGGTCGTCTAACCCAACCGAACGTGTTGGATGGCGACTTGCATGGGGCTTCAAACTCACTGCAATTCCACCCACTTCGTGTTGATGCGATCTTGTCTGAGGTCAGTCGAGTAGATTACGATTAGTTCATTGATAGGAGCTGAAGAGATAAAACTATTGGTATTATGGCACATTACAAATTTGAACATACAAATTTTAAAGGTTTTCTATATGACGAAACATTCTCTACTTATGTTTTGCTAATGTGACAAAATTGGAAGTCTAAAAATTTTTTAAATAATAAAGCAATAAACATTGTTTGTAAACTTTTTTCAACTTTCGCCTAAAAGTCAGCACCGTTTTCTGAGACATCCAATGACCTTCTTTAGAGAGTGAAATTAACAATTGGCCGACGGCACTGGGTAATTGATACAGAGAAACAATGACCGCCGATAGCTCACATCCAATTACATTGCTTATATACAGACCAAACAGCTTAATTTAATAGAAGTTAGGCATTAGAATTGGCTTTGTTCATTTCAGATGTCGAACAGCTGTGGCTTATCACTAATTTCTGTTTACCCGGAAAAATGTCAAGTGCAGCAGTCCAGCTTATTTATAATTAAATTTTTTTAGTAACTTTCTTGGCAAACGGGTTTTAGAAATCGCCCTCAACTGATAGGCTTAGCTCGAGTTTGCATGCCATTCAAGAACTACAAGTTTGCATTTTATGTTTATTGTTATTCAATGTGTAATTATCAGCGACGTTGTGTTTATTTTTATTCTTTTTATTCGGCACTGGTCAATTAAGATTCCAATTCGCAATCACATTAACCGGACGAAAGAGACAGGAGATATAACGATCCCCCAGTGGTCGACCACTTTCTGTTGATATTCAAAACGCGACTGATTTCAATTGCTTTTAGTCGGAAGCCGGCAACTGCTATTAATCGTAATTCATCTGGCAACAAGTTTGAGGTGCAGTTCAGGTTGCATTCAAGTTGGATCCAAATTATATAGCATACTTCCGAGATGGTAATTAAAAACATTCAAAGCGCAATAAAAATATGCGACAGAATCTATTTGAATTTATAAATCAAAATTAAATGTTCAATGCTTTAAACCTTGCAGCTCAACCACTCCCAGGGCAAAAGCCATTTAATGCTTGACAGCTTAGTGGGAAATATTTGAATACACAGAAAATAATGGAAATAATATTTAATTTAATTTTGAAAAGGTGATGTCAACTGTAAATAATATGTTGAGAACAGCCAAAGTCTGGTAATGACTTAAACTAATCAACTAATCAAGAAACAAACACAGGTTCATGGAAAAATATTTTCAATAATATTTTCAATTTCATTCTCGCAGCCGAAGATTGACAATAAGGCTTGTGTTACAACTAGTCAATAAAAGGTTCATTAATACAATACAAAAATACAATCGTGTATATGCTACGCTATAAAAATGTTCTATTTACAATTATTGATCTCAGTAAGTGACGTGTGTATGCTTGTCAGTGTGTGTTGGGGGCTCTATGATCCTTTGTTTCAGATATATCACGATTTCCTTACGCTCTAAAGGCTTCTTCAATCTTTGGCACATTAGTTTCTCTCGAATAAATGCTTAAAAAGAAACCACAAACATAAAATTAAAATATATAACTGTCGGCGGAATGTGGCAGGTTTTCTCTAGTCCCTCGAAACTCCTGTGCCTCATCTGAACAATCTTAGGCGGAAGGACATGATGTAGAATGCCAGGATGCGCAGAAAGACCAAAATACCGAGCAGAAAGATGAGTGCAAGACTATAGTTCGGATCGGCCATGTCCAGGCTTTTAAGAATGTGCTTCGGCACCATCAGATGGCAGTACATCTCCTCGCATACCAAACGCTCACGATCGTATCCAAAAATGGCCGCCATGGCTCCCTCCAGACTGTACTTGAGAAAGGACACGTCAAACATCCAGCGCATATAGACCGGAGCGTCCTTCTCCATCAGAAAGAACCCGCTGAACTGCAGGAACGGGCAGATGAAGAAGGGCCCCAGGATGGAGCCCAACTTAAGACTGAGTGCCGCTCCCACTGCCAATCCGATGCTCTGGGAAACCAGAGCTGTAACGAACACAATTAGGAAGAAGAGTCCAAACCGCCAGGGCTCCAAAGGCTGTTGGGTCAACAGATAGGTGGGCACTATAAACAGGGCACTGCAGATGATCTGGATGGGCAGGTCCGCCAGAGTGATGGCCACGTAATACGCTCGCAGGGAGTACCAGCGATTGAAGTGTTCGCGGGATACAATGGGAAACTCCAGAGGAACTAAAGTGGATGAAATGGAGATAATTATTTTATAATATAAAATAGTTTGTATACTCACACTTTACCAGTATCCCCGAAAACGCACAGTACATGATGAACATGATGGTGTAGAAGAGGTATCGGAAGATATTCAGCGTCTGGGAGGCATCGTTACCGATCCCAAAGTACAGGGTTCCAATAAGCAGCCCGGTGATTAGGTGAATTGCAAATCGCATTGTGGTCAGCGAGCTGTCCCGCCAAATCAGCAGGAAGGTCCTAACCAGCAGGATGCCCAGCTGGCGGTAGAATGGAGTGGCGTAGATGTTCTGCCGCTTGCACAGATGCGATGGATCCAGCTCCAGTGCTGGCCTGGGTTTCTTCTTTTTCTTTGGCTTGCAACAGCTTCCGGCGGACTTTCCACCCACATCGCCGCTTCCGATTCCCGTCGTTTGACTGTCCCACACCCGGGAAGATAGCTCATTGATTGGCGTGAGTGGCTTGAAGGTACTACCCTGCAAAAAATGCGCTGGCACAGATGTGGACATTACAGGAGCAGTCACTGGTGTGATTAGGCCCGCTGCCATTAGTTGATCTGGAAAGTAATAAAGACTTGATTATTCCATTATTTTCGGCTTTAGTTAAAATCCCCTTATCTTACCAACTTTCTTCATGGCCGCTAGTTGCGCCACTCGGGCAGACTTGCTCTGTCTGTAATCCTCATTGCGGCCATTGTCTATCAGAGCCACCAGCTTCTTCAGCTGGTTGTCATCCTCTGTGTCATAGTCATGAGTAGCTATTTCCATTACTGTTAATCAAGTAGTAATTGATAATTTCCTCTCTTACAAACATATTTATATGTTGAACTCACAGTAATCCGCTGGATTGTAGGATTCCGGGCAGTGCAGATTGAGGGCGCCCAGGAAGGGCAGTAGGTTCTGTGATCCGCCAGAGTAAATGCACTGGCCCTCGCCAATTGCATACAGATGGTCGAACATGGCGAATGTCAAGGCACTTGGCTGGTGTATTGTGCAGATGACTGTTCGCCCCTCGAGGGCGAGCTTCTTGAGCAGATTTATTAGCTGATTGGAGGTGGAACTATCTAGGCCCCTAAAAACCAATAAATTCACAATTAGTTGAATGTTTAATATGGTAAACTATAACCTACGTTGTGGGTTCGTCTAAGATTAGTACCGGTGGATTGTTCACCAGCTCCAGGGCAATCGCCAGTCGCTTCTTCTGACCTCCACTGAGCTGGCCCGTCCTCGTGTGCCGGTTCTCGTACATCCCAATGGCCTCCAGAATGCTCTTCACGCGCTCTTTTTTCTCGCTCAGCGTCATGTGGTGGCCGATCTTCAAATTGGCCGCAAAGTGCATCGCCTCCTTAACGGAGAGAAAGGCCTGAAGACTCGTATCCTGTCGGATGAAGGCCAAGTTCGGTTTGAAGGCCTTCAGATCCCTTTGATTGCCATTGATTCGAAAGTTTCCCGTATAGCCATACGTTCTGGAATAAAACAATAAAAGAGATTAGCCTGGATGGGAAGTAGTTTTATTTCCGGGGGTTGCATTACGTGTATCCGGATAGAATATTGAGCAGGGTACTCTTTCCAGCACCCGAGGGTCCAAGTATAGCACTCAGCTCCCCCGACTTAAAGTAACCTGTTAGTCCCATGAGTACATCTTTGGTTTCTGTAGAGAAATTTAAAAATAATTCGTAATTTAATTGTATTATATACTACAATACCAAAAAAGAATATTCCCTTAAAAGCTATCAATATTCTCAAGAGTTAACACTATTTTTATTGGTGGGATTTATAACTGATTACTGAGCTAGTTCCCTAAAGTTACTTAATCATTGACAGGCTTCAGTTCTCAAGAAATTCAACTTAATTTGATAGCTTAGTGAGTAAGTACTTCAAAATCCAACTAAAAAGTTAGCGAAAGGTGACGGAGGCTATTTGAATTTTAAGATTAGTTTACGATTTACTTAAGGTGGTAAAAAGTTTCATTTGAATTTTGATTAATGGTTGAGTTAGGAAACAGGGCATGAAAAGTACATTGAATTGGCCATGCATTTGTTTTTAAAAACTAAACGTTTCAAACATTTTCAAATATAAAATTTGATTTTCTAACTAAAAAACATAAACATAAACATTGAATTTTTATCTGCATTTATTAATATAGAAAATATACACATTTTTATAAACAAAGAAGCTGAGAGCATTAATGAGTTTATACAATAACGAGTAATTCCTAAATGAATTGAAATAGAGACCCCGTTAACTTTTTTCTATTTATTTGTTTGCCCCACAAGTTTTAATTGTAGGGTGTCCCACATTCTCACAATAAGTAAACTCGTACATCCCGAGTGATAAGCAAATCCCATTTCCCGCGATTATTGCTGTTCAATGCTGTCTAATCTCATTTTGCACGTTTTCTGGGCTTTCAAGTCGACGGATGATAATGCCATAAAGAAACTTAAATTCAATATACGAGTACATTGGATCGGCTTTCAGTATAAATTTTGTTTTCCTGGGCCAACAACATTGTCGTCGCCCATTATAAATGTCGAATGCCCAGTTAATCTATCGATTAGCCAGGGCTACTAGCCAATTTAGATTTCAGGCGTCTATTGGCCGTCACTCCGTCGCCGAATCTTATCGCAGTGAGTTCTATGACCAAACATCTTCGTTAAACTGCCTTTACGCCTTTTTTTAATGTCCGTGGGCCAGATGTTAAAGTAGATCCGTCACCGGGCCAACAGGTGTACATCGAGCGATTTTATTGCACTCCATTACTGCGCTGGAGTTGGCCGCCTTATCAATATTTTGCGATGGCCTTGTACTTGGTACTGCATTTTCCAAAGGGGGATTATGAATAAATATAATAAAAGACATTAGTGGTAAGGGGTCATCAAACACCTGCATTTGTCTGACCATTTTACAGAACATATTACATTACACCTCGAAAATTGGGCTCTAATATTCACCCTTTAAGGTGAAAAAAACAAGGTATAAGCATTTAAAAAATTTAAACTAATCATAATAAGTATAAGTAAGTTCTACTTTTTAAAACATTTTCTCTGTATAAGTTTACCAATTCATGAAATCAAAAATACTACTATTTTACAATTAAATTTCTTAAAATTAAAGGGGACTTGAAGGTAAAGTTATTGAAACGATTTCCTTATCAAATTGATTGTTAATTGCTTTGGTAATTAAATACGATTTTGAGAATGCAACAAACAATAAATTTATGAATATAATTAGATGTTTATAGTCTGTAAATTAATTGGCATTGATAATGCAGTATTGTAAAAACAAGTTTTAACTACATAATTTATTAAAAACTTCATTTTATAATTAATATAAAAAACCGCAGTTCTAGTAATATTACATAAACACTTAATAATGCTAAAATACTTTGACACGCACAAGTCGACAGAGATCTCCACTCATTTTAAAAAATCGTACCGGAAACTGTCAACAATTACATCAAGAGCGTGCCCATTTCTTAATAGAAAAGAGGAAGCTCTCAAATCACCTGACTCATCTCAAAAGTCGCTTTTAATGTCGGTCTCTTTGTGAATATATTTCAAGTAAAGAAAAATAAAAAGAGAGGAACAATGGAAAATCTAAGAAAACAAAACAGATATTTAATTTAATGGAACTAAAGTGACATCAATTAAAAAGCTAGAGCCTTTCCTATAAGTCTGAGAATTCTGCTATATCATGATTTCATATCCCCCTTCGGTTTGTGTTCTAATTTTCCTATCTTAATGTGGTATCTATCGTGAATAATATTATTCAATGTCCGCAATGCAATAACAATAATATTTATCACATGTCCGACATATGTTGTAATCGGAGTCATTAGCTTACTTATATACTTGTATTCATGAATGATACACAAATATCGATTTGCTTTCACTGGCTTCTGAATATCAATAATCTAAAATAAATTAACTTTGAAGAATTCTCGTAAGTACATTTTTTACGTTTTATTATCAATGGCGGTAAGGTGATAAAGGTAGTTGTAGATATGGAACACGAGTAACATTGCACCCCATTTGGGTTATTTTATGCTTGGCTGTCAGAAAAGCAAAAGTGGCCTTCGACAAAAAATTTATTGTGTTAGCAACTCAAGGATTTGTGATTTGATCATATCTGAATAAGAATCTTAAGTTTGGGTTGCAATTACGTACGGAGGAAAATTTAAATCTTTCCCTAACAACATTTTATTAGTCTTTTTTTTTCCAGCCACGAATTCCTAATAACCACCGGCCATTTTTTATTTGTTTATGATTTATCGTGCATATAATCGGCATGCGGCACGTGTCATAATTTCCATCAGGATCATAATCAGATACTTAAATGAGTCAGGCCATGAGTCACCTGGGATACCACGATTTGGCACCTGTCCACTCAAATATCTTTTTGGGAATGCCTTTCTACCAGTGGTGCACTAGCGTGAGTCACGATATATGTCCCTACTTATATCCACGATAAGCGACAGTATACAAGAGAAGTATCAAGTATCTGCGATTGTGTATTTATGCATGTTGTAAGTGGCTGGTCTTATCAGCATTGTAACTGTGGGATCGTCAAATTGTAAACAAACAATAAAGCAGCCACACTCGCCGATATGCAAATAGGTCCGTAAGTTATATTTAAATGAAAACCACTGACCTCCATATTTAGCCCTGAATGTGAAACTACCATTTCTTTTATTTTTGCGTGTGCCCAAGTTCGGTTCAATTAAATTTAAAAGGCACTTTGAACTCAGTGATTCGCTCAATCAGCAGCTTGTCAATATAATGAATTGAAAGTGTCTTCGCTTGTTATATATATCCAATAAAGGCATTTTTTTTTATTTTCTCTTCTTCATTGTGGACTTTGCCCAATATTTAAATCTTAAAAAAAAAACTGATAATAGCTAATTGCCCTAATCTACAAAATAATTGTTAAACGCGCCAAATTTAGCATGCCGGAAACTTTTATGAAAGCATTTTAAATGGCTTTATCTGAAGCTTAATGAATCGAGACCAAATCACGCCAATCAATGCTAATGATTTCCATAATTGTAACATTTTTTTCCTTGTAATATTTTGTCCATTAAAAACTCATTTTTGTTAATTCATATAAAAGAATAATAAAAGTTGCATTGAACTGGTCAATTTTAATGGGGTTTGCTGGACATTATCATGCTCATACGTACAGTATATAGCAACCCTTAATTAAAATTGCCACCAATGCGTAACTGGAAGCAAGCAAGCAATTTTGCGACCACGGGGGGAATGATCTTTAGATGTCAGCTTTTGTTTAAAATGGATCGCAAGCTTTGTACCCATATAGCATGTCTATGTCTTATTGTGGCAAAATAAAGACAGACTATTGAATTGATTGGTTTTGTTTTTATGAGATTTTGAGAAATAATAAAATGTTGTTTATTTGTTATTCAGAAAATTTAAAAAATCGAAGAGGATTTTTGCTAAACAAAGACATTTGCCATAAAGGAATTGACTGTTCCCACTTACCCTTCTGGAAGACTCCAAATTTGGTGGTGTAGCAAATGTTCTCGAATCCGATGTTGATCTTTTTGATGGTTTTGTACTGTTCGTGGGGGAAGATGGACCCTCCGCTGGTGGCGGTGCTGCTGCTGTGGCGGCTTTCGTCACTATTCTGGCTCTTCTGACTCCTTTGACTGTGACTCGCAGGTGACGAAATGGGTGTGGCGCCCATTGGAGTGCCATAGATGGAGGCGCTGGCCGAAAGTACCGTGTTTTCCGTTTCGGCCAGCGGAGCATCATGGGATTTGGCTGAAACATTCAGGGTCAAGTGTGGTGGTCGCTTGGAGGATAATTTCCTGCCGGGCACCGGAGTCGTGGGTCGCGGTAGTCCTCCAGATCCTCCATATTTTTCAGACCCACGAGTTGGCAGATTCGTTTCAGAGCTCGACCTGAGGTTATTCAGCCGGATGACATCGCCACTGGTGACATTTGGGGACACAGCACTGGCCAAGCTCCAACTGGACATGTTTTTATAAATCTCTATATTACACTTTTAATCTTTTGGCTTTCGTATAACCTTAACCCTGTTCGGTTTCACTTTGATTTCTCTGTCTTTAACTCGCGTTCTCCATTTAATTTGTTCTTTCCGCTCTTTCGTCGTAGGCCTGCTTTTTGCGTTAATTTTGAGGAGAGTCAAACAATTAGAATAAATAATATTTTTTTTCGCGGTTGTTTAAGTGTGTGCGTGTCTGCTGCTCATTTGAATTTAAATTTCGCGCTCTCTTGCCAGTGTGAGTTCATTCGCATTCTAGCTGTTCCCAAGGGCGTTGGGTGAATGGATGAGGGCCCTGGGAGACCGGCAGACAACCCATTTAATAAAAAGTCGAACGGGTAGGAACAGTAGCCTGTTGCTAATCAGACCATGCCCCCAAAAACAAGAATACAGCACCAACACATGGCAGCACATGTAACTCGAGAGAGTATAGGCCAGGGGCGGAATAGAAAAATATTTAAGGGGGGTTTAAATATATTTGGGATGCGAAGGTATTTATAATAAAATCTTGCTCCTTAATAGTAAACGCGTTTTTCACCCCGTTTCTGTCAAAATAATTTTTGTATATTCTCAATCCCCTTTTTATCCGTCTCTGGTATAAACAATGTTTGTTGTTATTATCAGACGTAGAGCGAGAACAAGGCAGATGTGTTCTCCGCTCACAAAGAACGAGCGTTGCGGGGGAGGAATGGGGACAGCAGATTATTGCGCTACAGTAATTGCAGTCCAACCTATGAATATTCCCGTTGACATTATGACTACTTTTAATTATTTTAAATAAAATACACTTTTTCTACAGATTTAATTTGTGCTAACTTCCCAAACTTGATTTATAACCGTGAACGAAATAGAATAAAGTTGTTAATAAAGTTGTTAAAGACTTCGAGATACAAAACTGAAACGTACAATTATTATATTTATCCAATACATTTTAAAAAGTTACAATACCACTAGATAGCATAACACATATTTTAAAAAATTCTAGAACTCGAGATTTTTTTTTTATTTAAACAAACGTTTTTAGAAAACCAATATGCCTTAGATTTTGATTTTGTTTTGTAGCGCTTGCGAAATGCACTCAAAGCTTCTTCTTTATGATGCAAATCGTGTGTATTTACATATATTTAGCACGTCGCTCTCTTTAGCCTTTGTTTTGAAAAATTGAGACGCACTTTTAATCGTTCTAAGTTTATTACTTAATGGAACACTTTTTTCTTGTATTCGCTCTATAGCAGCTGATTTTTGTTTCTGTGTATGTGTGTTGGCCTAGCCGTCGTCTTATTGTGCCCTCTGCCATTCCCGCGTCTTTCGCGATTGGTAGCACCTCGTTTTTTTTGCCTAGGCTGGCCAACTAAGTATTTAGTGTGTAGTTAGTTTTCTGTTCTCACTAAAAAGTATATCAAGTTCTGAGGCTTTTTTTTTGCGGCTTATCACTGGTCAGAGGTATAGACTGAAAAGGGGAAGGGGGTAGTAGGGGGGGCAAAGGCTGAAACCCTAAACCACAAAAATATTCTATTCGATTGGTAAATTCAGACTGATTATCACTGTGTCAATGCAACTGATAAGAGAAGTGCAGCTCACACACTAGACACACACACACCCGCACACACAGAATTACTGGGTTGAGTATTACCGCGCGTAATTATATAGATGACAATATCTTTTGTGGAACCGAAGAGTAGCGCGATCTTTAACAGCCGTTGGCATGGCACGAAATGAAAATGAATTCAGGAAAGTTGAAAAATATGAACCGAGTTCTCTCCCAGGGAGCCAGAGAGAAAGAGAGAGAGAGAGACACAAGATAGCGTGGGAGAGCGGCTATCAGCTGTTTTTATTTTTTACCCCCAAGAGAACTTCGCCCCTGTCCCATTATTTTTGTTTACGAATCCTTGACTTCTCTCCGCTGCGGGGTGTTTTTATTGTTATTTGTATTTTTGCCTGTTAAGACAAACTCCCAAAGGGGAGGTTTTCCCTCCGAACTCCTTTGTTGCCTTGCTTCCCGATGGCAATTATAATTCGCAGCCAAACAAAGAACAGGCAAACAAAAAACAAGTCAAACCAGTTATTTTGATGACTGTTGCACTGCGTAGCTTATAAATGTCCGGCAAATATATAAACTATATCCATGGCACTTATTTATCAAGAGATAAACAATTTTGTAAATGTGAACGATTTACAAATTTATAAAGTCTTTTAAACGCCATTTAAATTTAAATAAAAACGAGTTATTTGTTTACCATCTGGCAACGTAGATATTTTTATTTGTCTATCCACCTAATCAGCTGTTTCAATCCACCACCACGTTACAGCATTGCCATACTAAAATTTTTTGGTGAATACATTGGCGGTAAAATTTAAAATTTGGTACAGCAAAATAATTGGGCTCAAAATATTTTATAACCTTTTTTATTAGCTTCAAAGGGAAAACCAAAAAAAATGTACATGTAAATAAAAAATTAATGTTTCAAAAGTGACTGCCTAATATTCACATATTTATGTCTTAAAATGTGCAAAGTGTTCAATATTTTGAATGCAGTTCAATTGTTCTTTGAATGCAGTTCAATTGTTCTACTTTTTTAGGCTGATGCCTAAAAACGCTTAACTATTTTTATCATTCTTCTAAAGTCTATTATATCTTCAAATCTATAAACTAAAACCTATCAATATTTGCAAAAGCTTTCAATTGTTATAACTGAAATGAAAATATCGGGAAAAATGTTTAAAGACATAATTTGCGCTGCAACGGCGGCCAATAAGGAACGCACTCTGATTATGATCAAACCTGATGGAGTCCAGCGCGGACTCATTGGTAAGATCATCAATCGCTTCGAGAGGAAGGGCTTCCATTTGGTGGGCTTAAAAATGAGCTGGGCAACCAAGGATTGTTTGGAGAAGCACTACGCCGATCTCTGTGAGCGACCCTTCTTCCCGGAACTTTGCGAGTACATGACCTCCGGCCCAGTGGTTCCAATGGTGTGGGAGGGTCTGCATGTGATTAAGACCGGTCGCCAGATGTTGGGTGCCACCAATCCCTCTGAATCGCTGGTCGGAACCATCCGCGGTGACTACTGCCTTCATGTCGGACGCAATGTAGTCCACGGATCGGATGCCGTCGAAACTGCCGAGAAGGAAATCGCTATTTGGTTCAAGGATGAGGAACTGGTCGACTGGACCCCAGTCTTTACCAACTTAATCTGCGAATAACCGCTTTCTTTTCATTAGAAATATTATTTCACATATAAATTATTGTATAAAAATTATATTATAACTTTGCAAATATTAAAATGTTGTTTAATATGTATTATTCTGTATAAGTAATAAGAAATATTCATTATTCAATTGGTTCTTAGAATTTTTGAAAAGAGTTGGACCTATTTTAAAATTGGAACTACACCTTAAAAAGGCTTTCCTATTAAGCCATAAAATCGTACCAGTTGTCAGACTTACTTAATTTTAAAAATTTGTGCTTAGTTTTATTTTCGCTTAAAATTAAATTAAAAAGTTTTTCACTTATCTGACGTTGACTGTGCCATTCACAAACATAACATAAGTTTTCGGCACCAGAGAACAACGCGTAGACTGAAGCTTTCACGTAAAAGCTCTCAGTAAGTGCAGAACCACTCTTGGCAGTTAACAATTGTTATCATTCCGCCGCCAACGCTTGTTGCTTCAATGTGTCTCGGTTCACACGTCGGCTACGTAATTTTTCCTCATGTACTGCTAACACAATCTGTTCGGTCCATTTTGCAGAATTTTTTGGCGCGCATTTGTCTGCATCAATAAATAAAAGAATTTGATGAAAATGCAATTTACAACGCAAATATCGAATTTCTATTTGTGTGCATACAAGGTGTGTGTGAGTGAACCGGAAACGGAAATCAAAAACAAGCATCTGCATCTGTGAAGTGTCAAATAAATCTGTTCATTTTGAATGAAAATCCAAAAAGGTATAAAAATAAATACATAGCTAAGCGTAAACAAAAAGTGGAAATATAATTTCAAATAAATATGAATGAAAGTGTAAACGGACAAACGGAAATTTAATTAATTCGCAAACAGTCCGAATAAGTGCTGTGTATTGGAATATCTATTTCCCTCCCCCCCTACAACTCTTTGGTATTTGTTATTTTTTAGTCCCACAAAACAAAAAATTCGACGAGTGAATGTTTACTGTATAGGGGTTGGGGAAAACAAATATTTAAGAAAGTGTTGAACGTAAACAAAAATTCGAAATGGTTGCGTCCGAAGCTATCAGCTGAAAAGTCAACAATCCCAAAAGATACTGGAGCGAAGACGAGTGAACCGCTAATGGTAAGTCCCAAATAAAATTAGGCAAATTGAATCAGTATCTGGGCTTGAGTCTTCGAAGTTAATGATTAGATAACGCAGAAGCCTACATTGTTTCGGGGGTACACAAGCCATTTGGAATTTCTCAGAACTTCCCTAGTAATTTCCCTTGTTCGGTGCATTATTTTTATCGTTCGTTATTGATGATCGCTTCAATTGCGGCACGCATCGCGCAATTGATATTCCAGTTGACTCCGATCAATCTAGATGGGGCGTTGATTTTTCGATACCCAGGTAATTGCCAAAGCTCACGCCCACTTTTAGAACGCGAAAAATATTTGGGCAATGTACCTATGTACATATATGGCATTTACCCCCATCGATCCATGGGGCGCTGGGGTAATTCAATTTTTATTAGATTGTGCCACGGTTATTTTTCCATTTTCGGCTTCCAATTTTTGTTCTATTCGGCAGCGGCCACTTTAAGTGATAAGCAAAGTGTCGCCATTTTCACACAGCATTTATGATTGTGCGTCGTACATAGCGGTATATATATTCTGTCAGTTTAGTTACTCCACTTATTATTGAACTAAAAATTATCACACTATTTTACCATGCTCACACACATGGCAGGGGTTTCTCTTACCTCTGCTTTTTATTACAGCTTAAAAGCATGTTATTTATTATTGAGAGCATGGTCAACAAATGGGGAAACAACAACACAAGTTCAGAATCAATATATATGTCCTGCACATGATTAAGTAGCCATATTTAATCTACCTCAACACGCGCCGCAATTGATAAATAATGGCAGCTGAGAGACAAAGACCCATCGCAATTTCTGTGGCATTTGTCTCAAACATGGCAATTAATGCGGTTTAATTATTTGAATTCCAATACTTTCTCCCTCCAATTCCTCATTGAAATAATTTAAACAGGGTCTTAAGGAAGGCTTGGGCTTCTGAAGAATTTTTTTAAACTGGTGTCAGTAAAAATTGTTGCCCTTATTTTCATGTAACATTTTTCTAGCAAACTATTACAAAGTCGGTGAAGTTAATATTTTGAAAAGAAAATAAGCTAAAATGTTTACATGTTCAAAAGCAACAAAAAACAAAGGTCTAAAGTTCTGATACACACTAGATTTTTTAATTGATAAACAAAATAATTTGGTTCTTTTACTTAATGATTGAGATTGTTATTTATTTAAGGTAGCTGAATTTGTTTTCTTTAAAATCATTTTAAACAACACAAATTTATATATTTTACTAGGAGCCTTTTAAATGCGGTGATGATAGTGACTGCCGTCAAAGATATTTAAAAATTAATTTATGTAATTTCTAGGATTCTTTTTTCGATAAAACCGTTTTCTATTAAACTCACTTTTAAGTTTTTTCCTTTTTTCAAAGTCCATAAACTAAAGTAAAAATCGAACGTTTTTCAAAACGATTCGGTCCCGATAAATAACAAATTCACACAGATGTTTTCTAGACGTCATAACTTAAATTTTCCCTCTCTGTTTTTGTTGTTGTCACATTTTTTTTTTTCTCTGGTGTATTTTCTGCACTATCTCCCAAAAACACTTAAATGGTTGTATATAATGATGGTCGTAGTAGTATCTCATCAATTATTATACGAGTAGATGTCATCGGACACAGACATTGAAAGCTTTAAAAGGCTGCCCCATTAGGCAAACAATTCCAGGAACATTGAAACTTTTAGTTTAAAAGTTTAAAAAGCGCACAGTTTTTTTTAGCAGTGGCTACTAAATAATTGATTTCTAAAATGCAAGACAACCGTTGCCGACATCGATTAATAATCGCTTTTAAATTTGACAAGGGCTTAAGAGTTAATACCGATTGATTAAACGTTACACAACACAAAGGCTTTCTCTGACTCACTAAGCTGGAAATCCATTGAATGTGTCTTACTTGGTTTACTTATGCAAGCAATATGATGTTTGTATAAATTTAGACCGTTTTTTCTGGAACTACATTTATATATATTTAAAGCGACTGATCGATTTTTTTTAAAGAGCTTTACTAGTAATAAAGCCCAACACTAACCATTGACCACTGCAGAATTGAGAGTCACAATTTAATTGGCACAGGTATATTGCTGATATACTTCAGTAATTATTTGGATTTTCCAAAAATGATTATATGGCCATACATATATCTGGACTCAACCAGTTAAACCATCCACCACACAATCATTTCAAGTGTAAAGTCCATTTTGAGCACTTAAGGTTGTTTCGTTTGTTGGCAGCTTATCATTCAAAGTCTGCACTAAAATAGCCGAAGAAAACCCAAATTTAGCTATTTATTATTTTGTAAGGACGAAAGAAACCAGAATATATTTTAAATAACCATAATTGTTAAATTTATCATTCTCCCATGAGCAATTCTTATTTAGACCTCGGCAACAGAAACATTATTTAGTTTGGGACTGCGGCTGCTAAAAGCTGTGTGCTCGTTTTCCCATCGAAATCGGCAAACCAAAACAAATTGTTCAAGTTGCCGTGAAATGGAAAACAAATTGAACTTATCAATAAATCGAGTGGGCGATAACGATTAGAAAAAAGCCCGTACAATGACGCGACCAAATTCGAATCGAACCCAAAAAACCAAGAGCAGCGAATTTCTACACACATTTCGTATCATATGTGGGCCCCCAGTCTCAGGTAAAAAACAACAGTAGAGATAAGGGCCTAAAGTCGTTGCTCTTGTCAGTAATACATATATATATTTCATTTTGTACTTCTAAAGCATATGGCAAAAGAGTAAATTGAATACTTGATCTTGGTTAACTAGACATTTTAAGTCTCTCTCAGTATAAATAGAAGTCCAGTGATTGGCGAGAAATATTCAATATTATTTACATGAATAAACCAACAAACCCTTCATAATTTTGTCATTGTCCTGGCATATCAAAAAACCAAATTACATAAGAAATGGTAATGCTGACTTCAGCATAACTCGAAAGTTAAGGGGATTTCCAGTTTGTTTGCTGGCCTTAAGTTGGCTGCGCCTGACACTTGTGGAAACTTATCAATTGATTAAAATACAAGGCATTTAATTTATGAGTAACCCTCGTCTTGGTCTGGCCTTCGCCACCTTAGAAGAGCTTAGTGTGTCAGGTGGTTGGACAGAATCGAAGTCGGGGCACCTACCCCACGTTAAAAGGGTGACACGGCCATCAAGAAGCTTTACTTAAGGCGTATAATATGTGAAAATCTGGGTTCTCCGCCTCACCACGTTTCTGATATTGATTGCAATGTTCTTTGGACTTATCACACGGTTTTAAACAAAAACTTTCTGCAACCCTCTCCACTTCTCTTACAAACTCTTATCTGGCCTTTGTTTGCCACCCAAAATTGCTGGAATGCGTCATCTTATTGAGCATGTCAGAAATGTGGGGAACTTGGTTTCCCTAACTGGATAAAAATAAAATGTGTCTGTCATTCTGCCAAAGTGAATATATTTAATGGCTCCCTTTTGAGCCGAGTGAAAAGCCAAAATCAGCTGTAATCGGAAACTGTTGACCAATCAAAGTCCATACTAAATCATCATCATTTTATCAGGGCAGTAAAAAAGAAGCCAGTCATTTGATTCTTATCTATTCAAAATGCAATCGACCAAATTTGATTACAGACATTGTTGTTATGTTCTATACAAAAAATAGAAAATATCCTTTTCAAAAAATAACCGCTAAATTTGGAAATGTAGAATATATTGCTGCTGCTTTGACATAATGCAATAGTCAACAGTTGTTGACTAACAAAACCAAAGTGAATCATTATCATTATCTAGCGCAATAAAATAGTTCTTCCAACCAAGCATTATGATTGTTATCTACACCAAGGATAATCAACTGAAAACATGTTTATCAAAGTGACCCCTATAAAATTTACCACATAAATGGCGGAAAGTCCAAAGAGCTTAAATTTAAACCCAGAAAAACCGATTAAATAACAGAAATTCCTTTTGAACGTTTTTGTTTTGTAGAGAATATTTTTAATAATAATACCCTCGAACGTTTTTGCTATAGTCATTTGTTTACTAATTATTACCTAACGCACAGGAAGCATGCGAGCTTCACTTTATTATTGAAAATAAGATTATTAAAATACAAGGGTCAATGAATTTGTAAATGTCATGCAACCAGAGTTCACATACAAAGCAAATTGTAAGGAAATACCATTGAAATAGCTTGTATGAAATGGCCTTTTAATTAAATTATGATGGTATTAGTAAGTATGTTAATGGTTGATTGCTGCTTTTCTGCAGTTGTGATAATTTACCTCATGAAATTGTTTGTGTTAACTGTGTGTGTGTTTTACAGTGTCACCCCAAAGTGTTTGCCCATCGTGTCTCTATTATACATTAACGGACGTCCTAAAAGCGCGCGTGTTGTTATTTAAACTACGCAAATAGTGTTTAGAGTGCAAATAAATAAACCTAGGTCAGGGAATCCAATGCAGAGCGAAGAACATAACTTCAGCCGAGAGACGACGTCACAACTGAAGCGAATCTTAACCACTTAGTTCCGTTTGCCAACAAGTCGTGAACTTGGGATATAAGTACATATATCCCACATGCGAGCCAAGACATGACGCGATGCCAGTCCGGAAGATTTACGATATTGTTGTTTGCCCGGTATTACGGAGTAACAGCTCCGGGCACCGCCCACCCAGAGAATCAGACAGTCGGCGTGATGAATCCCGTAATCTGAAGCTGCCTCCAGGCCCACAAACTGCGTAATCGTTCACTGTTTCTTAGATGAAATAGTATATGTTTACCCACAGATTTAGATACGAATACGGTATAAATGGAGCTCCGCAGTCTATTTCACAAGTCATTTTTGGACAAGAGTTGCTCTGTTCAGGCTAACTCGATACCCTCAAGGACACGGAGCATGGAAAAAGTAAACCAGTGTTTGAAATTTACACGCAAGACCTTTAAGGCAACCTAGGAAGGACCAGGGACCTCCCCACTGAGGCTCTCCAACTGTGATATCAGAGATTCAAGGATCCAATCTAGAAATAGTTAGGAGCAGTACGCTTAGTTAGTTCATATCAAAGGATTCACCAGAGGATTCACCGTGTGCCAAGATGTTCCTCAACGTATTCCAATCGGGCATCTTTCAGCGACAGTTTCGCCGCCAACTTTGGGTCTCTTTGAGTGGTATGTTAATGAAGATAAGACGGATTTACGGCTCAACTGGCGAGTGGAAAGTTTCGGTTGCTCCGATCCATGTCATGTTGTGAACAAAGAACTGGTCTGGCGTAAATGGGATTCAGGGACAAAAAGTTTGACACAAAGTTGATGGGTGAAAATTAAATTTCACGCGTGCCTATGCAAATGAGCCACTTGAGCTGTTGATTCGCCCTGTTGTTAAATGATGTCATCCGTTGATCTATGTTCTCCACGTAGCCACGCTGATAACCTTCTGCCATGGCATCGCCCTCGGTTGGCTGTCGCCCATGCTGCCCAAGCTCCTGTCCCCCGCGGAGACGCCCCTGTCCTTCTCCATCGACGTGGACGAGGCCTCCTGGCTGGGTGCCGTCATCAGTATTGGCGGAATTACTGGGAACTTCTCGTTTTCCTACCTCATGAACCGCTTCGGCCGCAAAGTGTCCATTTACGCTCTGGCCGTGCCCCACACGGTGAGTTTTACGGGAGTGCAATTCGATCGGGGCATAATGTGTGTTTTTCCTCCTCGATCCGTAGTGCATTTGGTTCCTGTTCTATTTCGCCCAGAGCATCGAGATGTTGTATGTAGCAAGGGTGTGTGCCGGCCTAACTGGCGGCGGCATGTTCGTGGTGCTGCCCATTTTCATTGGTGAAATCGCTGACAACAGGTAAGTGCATATTAAATAATAAATAAAAATCTCTTCGATGGAAGCTACTTTGGCTTACAATTAAAAGTCAGTAAAACTTTTCCATGAAATGCAATTATGGAAAATATTTGTAATTAACTTGTGCATATAACTGAAAAACATTCCTCTGTATATATAATACTATTTTTTAATGGGAAAAAATTAAAACCATTAAAATACATTTTAATTTACTGCATAGTTTTGAGCTATGGTGAAAATTTCTGAAAAGAGAAAAGCACGGAACTTTGTGGAAAATATAACTGTGCAGGCAAAAGAGCACAAAACTTCGTGGAAATGATTTATTACCTTTTCATGGTAAAATTTGCATTTGAAAACAGTTATCCGCCACATTGACTTTCACTGACCGCAAACATTGCAACGTTAATTTCCCACCGACAGCATTCGTGGACGCCTGTGCTCCTTCTTCACCCTCACCATGAACACGGGTATATTGGTGGGCTTTGTGGTGTCCTCGCACATCGCCTACCACGTGATACCCTGTGCTGTGGTGGGTCTGCCCGTCCTGTACGTGATCCTGGCCACCCGGTATCCGGAGCCGCCGCAGCAGTTGATTAGGTGGCAGCGCGTGGAGAAGGCGGAGAAATCACTTCGCTTTTATCGCCGCTGCGATGGTCCCAATGTGTCCAAGGAGGAGGAGCGGGCCTACCAGAAGCAGTTCGACGAGATGCGACTGGCCATCCAGCAGCAGGACAAAGATTCCGACAAGAATAGCCTGTCGTTCTCGGATTTCTGTAAGCCGCTTTGCTATTGCACATTCAATTGATGCGGATACTCAACCCGAATCCTTGCAGTTACCAAGCGCTCGTTAAAAGCCCTGGCCACCGGATTGGTTCTGATGATAGCCAACATTTTCACCGGCACCTTTGCCTTCAACAACTACATGTCCAACATCTTCGATGCGGTGCACACCAAACTGGATCCCAACACGAACACCATTATCATTGGAGCCGTCCAGATTCTTGGCACTCTGGCCAGCATATATTTGGTGGATCGCTATGGTCGCCGCATCCTGTTGATTGTCTCGTGTGCGGGCAGTGGAATTGGCACCTCGGCCTTTGGACTGTACGCTTTCTATGCGGAGGAGCAGAAGGTGGACCTGTCGGCCTTCTCCGCCTGGCTGCCCGTCACCCTGATGGCCTTCATCATCTTCATAGCCAATGTGGGCGTCATTTCGGTGACGATGGTGGTTCTGGTGGAGATCCTGCCGCACAAGATCCGGTCGGTGGGCACCAGCTTCTGTCTGGGGTGCCTCAGCTTCTTCGCCTTCACCTCGCTGAAGACCTTCCCGCTGATGATGTTTCACCTGGGTTTGGCGGCCACCATGTGGTTCTGTGGCGTCGTCAGCGTCATTTGCCTCTTCTATGTGGTGGTCTGTCTGGAGGAGACCAAGGGTCGCTCCATGTATGACTAATCTGCATTCCTAGAGAATAAAGTTCAGATATGTAGTAAGCAGTAACCAAGTTCTCCAGTGTTTTCTTTCCCGGGTGGGGGCGTTAAACCAAAACAAAGCACTTGTGGCCCGAGCTGGAAACAGCAGTCATGGGAGGAGCCCCCAATAAAAAACAGAAGCGGAGCAGACAGCGCTTGATTTATGACCCAACTACTGGCTTCTGGGTCAACACACCTGCCATCAGCTAATGTCGTGCAGGCAATTAGCTTTGTTGGCATTCTTTTTTTTTTATTAATAATCCCACACCGTAATCCCCACAAGCTACGGATGTGTAAGACAGAAAAAATCCACATTTTACGGGGACAGGAGAGAACTACAAATGGAAAAGTGGTCTGCAAAAAAGATTTTGTTTGTGGAGGTTGTTGGCTTACCAGATAATTATAAAAAAGAATCACCCTCACAGAAGAAGATTTTCTGCGCAATTTTAATTGCTTTTAGATCCAACAGATCCAGTTGGGGATTTTAGACCACTTTTTTTGTAACATGCAATTTATATATAATACATTTAAGTAAAACATATTCTTTTTGAAAATTATCAGTTCTTAAATATTTCTCTAAATCTAATCAGCAAAAGTGTACAACACCACAATCTTAAATTATTTTGTCTTAGACGTAAGACTGCATTTTGTAAATTCAAGGGTTCTTGGAATAGGTCGTTGATTATATTATAGATTTCAGGCACTAATAAAGAGCAAGTTGCTAAATCACCACGATTACAATTGCGATACCGATAAGATCATGAATAGGCATTGACTTGTACTTTGCATTATTTATAATTTGCGAACTGTGCAGAGTAAAATATTTTGCAGGGACTTAATCATTTGTTATATTATTTATTAATATTTAAGAAACTTTATTAAATGTAAGGACATCTGCAACAAGAGGGTGTGGACCAAATAAAACCAATTAGACAGTTCCTCTTGACCATAGATAATGGCTTGTAAATCAAGTACACGTGGAACTCAGCGATAAGAATGAGAGAATGTGACACTTGCACGGTTAATGTGCAATCATCTGAAAATGTGTCGCTTTGTTTTCGTTGTTTGGTAAACAACTGATTCTAAGTGGAGTCAACTACTTTTGGTACTACCCTTCCTTTAAGAGCTTCTTACATTTAACTGATTTTGCTGAAAGCCTTGACTTTTAAGATCAACAAAGTGCAGTTTCTTACACAAATATTATGCTCGCATTTTCTAACTAACTTGGCTATGAGTTGTGAGTCAAAATACGCGAAAACATGCTTCACGAATTTTCGCCGGTCTAAAGAGCGGTTAACAATTTAAATTTATTTGTTGTGCACCACATCCCCACCTGCCTGTATACTCCATTTATGTTTGCAGTAGTATCAAGTGTCTTCATTTGAGTGCGCATTTCAGAGTATACAGTGAAAAGGGGTGAACGCAAATGGCATGTGCCTCTACATTTTTCCCTTTGTAACTTTGCTTTCAATTTATATATTTCTATCGACAATTTATATTATTGAAATGTCTTTCAGTTGCAGAAACGCTGATCATACGTTCTTGTTTGCATTTGTTTTAAAGAAACTTACATCAATTAATATCTCGCATCTAAATAGAATTTCTGTCCTTTTGCAGTAAACGCTGACAATTATGTTGAGACTCTCCCATCAGAATGCATCACTGGAACACCATTCGACATAGGATAGTGGTGCTTTTCCTGCTGGTGGGGGCATCTAATGCCGTGGGCTTTGATTCTGGGGAAAACACCACAATGGTATCACTGGACCCGGGTAGTATGCAAATGGAAGTGCATCGGTACGTTACCGGTTTGCCCAGCTTAAAGGCATCGGATTCCATTACTAGGACTCGTTTAAACGTGAGTACAGTACAATAATTCCTTTCTTTTAGACCATTTGGACGGAATTGAAAGTCAAAAAGTATATGAATATGAAGCATAAATCAGCATTACATCTTTAAAGTTATTATTCAATGTTTATGTTTGAAAACTTGTCCTTTACCCTACTGTTCTTTCGAGTATCGTTACAACAGAGTTATCTTTTTGATTTTTTTAATTTGATTTGTTTTTTGCAGCCCACTCCAGATGGCGAAATCACAGAGCTCAGCACTAACGTAACTCTATACATGGAAAAAATCCCACGCCTACAGGTGCGATGGCAGGACAACCTGCCGGAAGGTGAGCAATGTTTTTTTTTAATAAATATAATATTTTTTCAGATGTCATTTTCAACTTTAAAAAAATCATGCTATTGAGAGAAGAGAATTATTTTGTTATTAAATAAAAATATGTGGATCTTACAATTCAATTTAAATGAATATTTTCATATTATAACATGATTTTTATCATACCGGGTCTGGTTATCCCGCGCTTGCAGGCACATCCTACAATGTCCTCGTTAGCGCCATGAATAATACAAGGTGTCCGGATGCGCCGTGCAGCGAGTACGGCATTAAGCAGAAGAAGGTCAGTCCAGAGCCGCACCTCGTCTTACTGCCAGTTAATCCCAGCCTGAACGTGGAGTCGGTGGACTGCAACTACATGTTTGGGTGCCAGTACCAGGTCATTGTGGAGACCTCCAACGCGATGGTAAGACGCTCCGCCCGCGTCTTTATTCCACGTGAGTTCACAAAGGATTGAAAGCTCGGCTTACCAATAATCGCAAGGAGTTCTCAACATGTTACATAATTGTAAATAACATTAGTAAATAACATTGACAGCAATTGTTTATTTTTAACAGAATTATTAATATTACCTATTTATTTTACATCTAAATAACTTATCTTTTGCGGTTTTTGGTAAATCTTCAAGGCACTCCAAAAATAACCAGCTTTTAATTGATTTATAAATGTTATGTAATCCCAAAAGAGTGCCTGGAGGGCAAGTGCTCCTGCCAATTGGCGCCCACGCCGCCAAAGGTCCTGGCCGTGGCCAAAATGCTTAGTAACGACACCATCAGCATCAACTTCTCGATCCTCGCCAGTGAGCAATTTCGCAAGGAACAGGACTCTCATTTGCACGAGACGTTGAGGAAATACAAAATGCAATTGAAGTGAGTACTTGCAGTGAAAATCATAGATTAGACAAGCCCTAATTCTAACAAGAAATTATATTACAACCACCAACATTGCTAATGACAATATAATTGCAAACCATTTCTCATTAAAAAAATACCACATTCAGTGCGGATACGTAATTATTTCTTTCATCTTTATTTTAAATTATAAATTATTTATTAATCGACAAAGTAAAAACTGCACTTTCTTTTCGTTTGAAAATATCGAGGACATACAGGGGGTGGTCAAAAGTATTTGCACATTTCTTATGAGTAAGTACGTGTAATTTGTGCAAATACTTTTGACCACCCCTGTATATACATATGTACATACAAATGCAACTGCTATTAATGATATGATTATGATTGACGAATTAGCACTACAAAAGGCAATAAAGCCCAATAATGTAGGCAATAATAATAGCATTTTAAACAAATGTGGTATGGTGTTTATTTTATGGAAATTGATTTAAACTCCATTATAAACATTCCAATTGCAGAATCAATGAGGAGACTAACCCCTCGCTTCCCTGGGGCGGGGTATTGAAGCATCTGCTGACCCGCGTCCACGAACTCAGCGAGCTGAACTTCAGGCCAACTCCCAAGGGATTTGAGGGCAATATGAAGCTCAAGCTGGGAACGCAGCTCAAGGAGAAGGCCTCCCTCAGCCTTCAGGCCGTCATCATCGATCCTTCCGGCTGCGAAGGGCCTCGCAGTGTCATCAAGGTGCCAGGTGAGTAAGTTCCATGTTACAAGGTAATGTTAATCAATTTTCCAATTTTTAATTCGTAAAGTGCCTGCCAATCCCGTTCTGCTAACAGAAGGTGACAGTGTGGTAAGCTGGGATAAAGATTTATTTAAGGCTCTCGTCTTATTATTATTGTTATATTGTTAATCGTTTTCTGTGTAGAGCAATTCCATAATTGTCATGAGCGGCATGCTAATTGCCATTATCCTGGCTGGTCTGATTATGCTGCTCTTGCGGCGCCGAAGGGCCAAAACAACTGCCAAGCTGCGAAAACAGGAGCAGAGTTACATCCAGACCTTCGCCGCCTCGGCCATCGAGTGAGTTGTAATAGCCATGACACTAGCAAGTTGCTAATCCTGGGTGTCCTTATTTCTTTCAGGATGGAGGACAATGTAAACTATGTGGACAAGTATGTGGAGGTTAGTCATTTGCGTAAGCCTTGATGGCAAGATGTAAAATTGAACAAAGCCCTAATATAAAATCCACTCAACTATTAAGCTTTTTGGTATTATTTTCCTGTTGTTGATAGCTTTCCCATTTAAGTCTTTTGAATTTTGTATGCAAATCACTGAGTCTGTATCATAAATATTTCCTCAGAAATCGCAGGTCCTGGGACTGGCAGACATATTCGAGGTTCCCCACTCGGCCATCCGCATTGGGCGAATGTTGGGCGAGGGAGCCTTTGGTCAAGTGCACGAGGCCACCGCCATTAACTTGCGCCGGATGAGGGGCACCACTATTGTGGCAGTGAAGCAACTAAAACGTGAGTACACTATTTAAATTAGAAGAGAGCAAGAGACGAACTTTTCTCGACAGCCAATCCTAAGGCGGATGAGGTGGCCGAGTTTCTGGCCGAGATTGAGATGCTCAAGGGTGTGGGCACCCACAACAATGTCGTCTGTTTCCTGGGCTGCTGCACCATCAAGGCACCATACCTGATGATCATGGAATACGTGGGCAAAGGAAACTTGGTAATTACAAGCCTCTTTCGTTTTAATAATTTTGGTAAATGGTAAACAAATGTTAATTTCTCTGTAGCTTACCTATTTGAGAGCTGTGCGACAGGAGGCTGGCAAAATAAAGCAGCGGGATGCCAACTATACGACCTGTAGACCAATTTCACCCAGGGCCAATGGCTCTTCATCGCCGAAAGGACAAAGCGTGAACTACATCGAGTTGAAGGCATCTAGCCAGACCATTGAATTGCCATCGGAAAACTCTAACGCAACTACCTGTTGTCCCCGGCAACCTCCTTCATCGTTAGCAGAAAGTATGCAGTTTGAAATGTTCAGTTAGAAAAGAGTTGGCAATTGTTTCCTTATTTATAGCCACTTACACCATTGTGGAGGATGATGAAAACTTTGATTACATACTGGACAACAAAGAGCTGCATAATTTCGCCTTGCAAATTGCAAATGGAATGCGTTTTCTTGAAGAGCAGGAGATAACTCACCGGTATGTGTAATTAAAGAACACTTTTGATTTTAAAAGGGTTTAATTAATTTTCCTTATTCAAAGCGACCTGGCTGCTCGCAATGTATTGATTGATAGCAATAAGACCCTGAAAATTTCTGATTTCGGACTCTCAAGGCATGGAATTTATACGAATACAAGGACGCGAAAGGTGAGTGCAGTAGGTCAAGCAGAATCAATGATTTCTTTTAAGGTTTTTCTGTTACCTTGGATAGCAAAGGAAAGACATTTCTAAAGAAAAATACATATGTCATGCAAATAGAATATATAAATAGTTACAATATTGTATCTTATTAAATACGGTGTACGGTGTTTTTAAGTGGTGTACTATTTATACCATTATCATACTTAAATACAAATCAAATTACAAGGTTAAATAACTTTGATTATTAGATTATTATCAATTAAAAAGACTAAGCTATGACTGTTTGCATAAAAGTTTTCTTAAAATTATAGTTAATTCAATAAATAAAATAAATTTTAATGGAAGTACTGCTTCCGAACTTGTCATAAATCGGATTAATGCAAAATTACAATTACTATTTTTGGATGTCTTTCTACATAGCTCCCTCTTCGATGGCTGTCCATCGAGGCCATTCGCGACAACGTCTACTCCAGCAAGAGCGATATCTGGGCGTACGGAGTGGTGCTATGGGAGATTGGCACCCTGGGCGCCTCGCCATATCCAACGATCAGCAACAGCGAGCTGATCCCATTCCTGATGGCGGGAAATCGACTGGAGAGGCCAGAGATCTGCACTCCGCAGGTGTACACCATCATGCTGCAGTGCTGGCTGGAGGAGCCCGAGGAGCGACCCACATTCGACGCCCTGTACAGGGTACTCAGTCCAAAGACTACCTACGTGGACATCAGCTGTCTGAGTGATGATTACGTCTTTCCGCCTATTAATGAGAATAGGGAATAAACTAAACTTCTACTTCCAGAGATAATTGTTACCAGTGTAATGTAGTTTAAAATCGATATTTGTTTTAGATGTTCTTATTCGATAATTGTTATAAGTGTATTTTAGTATTCGACTTTCCTTACTGTACAAATATCTCCGTCTGTGTGAGCATAATGCAGAGTTCAAAATGTGCCGGAACAAAATTTTGAAATAAGTGCAACTTTAGTGTGTGGTTAGTCAGTAAATATTAGAGTGTCGGCTTAGTTTCGTAGAAACTTACATCCCTACGATTATATCCGTTAGTTTTTCGCTTTTTAAGATCTGTGTGTTAAGGTAATTAAGATCATTAAACAGGCCTCAAAGTCTGCTGTATACGAACGTAATTTTGATGTGCTGTGAGTTTAAAACAATGGAAATAGATTGAAATTAACTGTATTTCATATTATTTTGTTAGTCTTTACTTTGCGTTCATGCGTTACATCAAAGTATTAATAAAATACAAAAAATAAAACTTTCCGCCTCTTTTTTAATGTCGTACGCCATATACGTCATTCCAGGCCTCAAACTGTTTGCAATCCTCCGCAGAAACACTTTTGGATATGACCCTTAAAGCTTGCTCAAAATCTTCCATAGTAACCGCTGGCAACTAAAAATGGAATGTGACAATGATAAAAACGGCGAGCTTTTATGAAACTTCTACGCAAAACGTCCTCAGACTCTCAGCAATGTTTACCTGGTGCGTTTCAATAGTTTCCATTTGATCGGGTGTCAGCGCCCGAAGGGGTGCCATCGATGCATAGCGGCACAGGGAATCCACATCAGCCCCCGAATAGCCATCGGTTAGCTCTGACAGCTGCTTTATTTCAAAACCGCTGAGACTATGTTTCACCTGTCGAATTATCTTTTCAATGATTTTCTGACGGGCTTCTGTTGTTGGAAGTGGGACGTATAATCGGCGTACAAATCTCCTACGCACCGCCTCGTCCAACTCCTGCGGTCGGTTTGTGGCTCCGATTACCAGCACTCGAATTTCCTCATTACTAGCAGCGCCATCCAAATGGATTAAAAACTCGTTTTTCAGGCGCAGAGTACTCTCGTTTTCGTTTCCCGAACGCTTTGACAACAGGGAGTCAACCTCGTCGATGAAAATAATCTAAAAATAAAAGAGAATGCAAGTGCAGAGTATTAGCATAATGGAAAACATGTTAAACTTATACATTGCTTCTTAGTTTGAGAAGCCTTAGCATTATCTGAAGGATGGACTGGAATGTTTAACATACAGCTGGCTGATGTGCAGCGGCCACGGCAAACAATGTCCTAACCAGCTTTTCCGCTTCGCCAACCCACTTGGAGGTCAGGCTAGAGGGATTGATGCTGAAAAACTTTGCCCTGGCCTGGGATGCAATGCTCTTGGCAATAAGTGTCTTGCCGGTGCCGGGTGGGCCGAATAGAAGAACGCCTCGAGGTGGACATCGCACTCCAGTGAACAAGTCTGGGCGACGTAGGGGCATAATAATAGCTTCCAGGAATGTGGACTTGGCAGATTCCAGACCAGCAATATCTTCCCAGGCTAAAGTACCAATAAATGTATGTTTGAATTAAAATTATGAATCGATTTAAACAAGGCATCACAGAACTTACCAACCGGTTTAAAATCGTGCATGCTCTCGCCGAGAATTTGATCTACCATCTTGGAATCTAAGTGGGCCAGGGTGGGCGAAACGTTGAGGGAGCTAAAAAAATTTAATAGAATATGTAGTTGGCTTCCTCTGCGAAATGTGGAACTTGTATACTTACGAGCTGCTCGAGTTCTCACTCTGTCGCAAAGGCGATACGAAATTCGAACTAACTGTACGTTTTCCTCCAAGCGTTTTTTTTCTAAAGTTCATCATCTCGGATGGGGATTCACTGGTTGCGCTCCTTTCGTTTGCTCCTTGTTGCTTATTTTTCTGTAAAGTTAAAGGGGAATTAATATGGCTTTTTTATGCGACGGAACTTGCGTTTGCAAACCTTTAAGTCGTCTAAAATGAGTTGCTCCCGGGCTGTGCGAAAACCAAAGCCGTTTTGGGATGAGTTCGGTTGTAAGCTCTGATGATTATTGTGCCCATTTTCTGACTTGGAGCTTGGTTCCGGGAAATTTGGCTTGGATAATGGCTCTGGGACCGGGCTGGATTTGACCGAATTTTTGGTCATGTGAAGATTGGAATTTTTTTTTTTCAAGCAATTATGTTGCAAATCACTGGATGTCACGTCTGCACTTCGACAGCTCTCGTAGGAGCTCCTGCAGGATGGTTCAAAGGCAGTATCCTGGGGCACATCGAAAATGTAATCCGCGCAAATAATGTTCGAAGAAGACCTGCGACTCGTCCTTATTTTTTGCTGGCATCGATTCACGCGTGCTGCCATTGTTTTTTTCGTACTTTCATCCTTCTGCAGTTTGTCTTGGTGCTCATTAAGCAGAGCATAGTATTTTGAGTCGCTAAGGATTCTAAATATAAAAAAAAAACGTGAATCCTTTGTGATTTAAAATTTAATGCAAATTAACCTGGTTTGTTGGCACAGCAAAAGCGTTTGAAGGCGCCAAGCATTCTGCTTTTGGCTAGGTGAGGCTTCCTTTGATTTGAAAGTGTCTTCACAGGCGGCGAATTGTTTGGTCCAAATCTCATCGGTCATGTTATGGTCAAATTCAAAACAAATTAATTACCTGTAACTAAAGTAAGACAAAAACTCGCGGCCAAAGAAAATCAGCTGTCAATTGAGTTTCGTAGCAGTCGGTATCTTCACATTGACGATCTCTACTATCGTTATCGATTTCCTGTTAACCCTTATGAGGGTTTGTGAGGGCTTAATATTTTTTTACTTCATTTTGTTATTACTGATAGACTTTTATTTTATGCTTTCCTTGCCGTTAATGTTTGATGGAAATAACACTGAATATAAGCGGAGAATATCAATAAGCATTTTAATTACATTAAAGCCAACCATGGGTAGGTAATCAACCAAAATGGACCAAAATGTGTATGGAAATTCTGTTATTGTATTAAAATGATGCAAATGACTTTGAATTACCAAATGAGTTGACTACCGTTGTTTTGGTTTCAGCGTGCGCAATTAAGTTGTTTTTATTTTAGTTTTTTATTGTACTGTTTAATTGGCTTTCAAGCATAATGTCATTAAAAATTGCGGTTAACATTATTATGACTTGTTTTGCGCTTTATTTGTCAACGTAAAATAAATGCATTTTGTAAGGTAACATTTGAATTATTAGTAATTATTAATGATTTGTTTCAATATATTTTTAAAACGAATTTGCTAAACAAATTAAATATCATCCAGAGACTTTTAGATGCTTTGGGTGGCGTAGCAGTCAAGTTTGGCACAGCAGTGATCCCAGTTATCGCTATCGATAGGTTTCAAGCCAGTTTCATATCGAGTTTAAAATTATTGCTTTAAAACTGTATACTTGTTTTAATTAAACTCATTAAGAGACACTAATTTAATACTTTCTTTATTGAGCACCGCTTTTTGTTTGATGGCCCTAAAGCTTTTGAGCATTTCGATAAAAAGTTTTTCTCCCAATTAATGGTCAATTGCTATTAATTGATTCGTTTGGACCTGATTAAATCACATTCCATTCGCTTGGGTTGTGAGCCACCCTGGTATTTCACTATACACACAAATAGTAGCCAAGGCAGACGTTCCCAGATCTTATCACCAAATCGGTCTGTATGCTCACGTTGGGCAAATATATACCTGCATATTGCTCATCCCGCCCATCTTAAACTGCCAACTATACGAAAACACGTCCGGACACATTCACCGGCCGTGAGTGGCCTGTGGATAGGAGTTCAACTCGGTGGCGCATAGTAGGCTCCTTATCTCCGGCGAGGCCGAGATAACGGCCCCGATCCCACGGCCATAAATACCCAGCAGCATCCATTAACTGATTCTCAGTTCAGCAGTCGGTGCAATAAGTTGCAGGTGTTTTCCCAGGGCTCTTCGCAAAAGGAAACCTTCCCCTGCGATTTGGAATAGGGAGCTTCTTCCATCAGACCACATCAGTATGTGCCTGCCAAAGCAAGTGGGTGGCCTGGCCATCCAGAGTGTTGCCACGGCTCTAGGTGAGCTTTTCAAGTTATTTACTCCATTTCCTACAAACTTTAATCAAATCATCTAATATAGAAATACAAATTTTTCTGAGAAATCATTTTATAAAACCATTTGACTAAACTTTTTCTTATGTTACGTTATAAAATTCAAATACAGATAGAAAATATAATCCAATCACGCAATTCCGTTGCAAATTATTTCAGTGAAAAAAAAAATATAGTTCTAGTAGTTATGACTGTACATTATATGATGTTTAATGGAATATTTTAAGATATATTTTTTTTATCGAATATACTCATTCGCAGGCAATGTTCTGTGTTTCAACTTTGGCCTAATGTTTGGCATTACTCCGGCGCACATGGCTCTTTATGAGTCCGAGCGGGATACCCCTTTAAACGAGGCCACCGATCCCGCGGGAACTGCCTGGCTGACGGGATACCTCTTCCTCAGCGCCGCCATGGGAGCCTTGTGCTCTGGAGTCCTGGCCTTAAGGATTGGGCCCAAGTCCGTGCTAATCTGCTCCGGACTGCTTCAAATTGTGAGTTAAAAAACGTAGCCTTAAATGCCTTTTGTTTGGTATTTAGCTGAAAGCTATGATGAGGATTCAGGAATGATGAAAACGAACAGAATTAGTAATTGTTTACTTTTTAAAGTTGTTTTTCCTATATTTCAATGTGCTCTGCAGTTCTTAAGCTAACAAAGTTTTTGGAAAGGGAAAAACAGAAGGAAAGAAAATTTAGAGAATTGTATATTTTGTTAAGGGGGATTCCTTTTTTGCCCAAAAAAATTACACTTTTCCAAACTTGTTTGTTAGTACAAGCAATTTTGATTTTGATATCTATAAATACAAATTTAAAGTATTTTTTAAGAATTTAATTTAAGAATTATTTGCGAGCATAAACAGATAACCACTACCTTTCCAGTCCGGTTGGGCCTGCATCCATTTTGGCTTCGACATAGTCCACATCTACGCCTCCCGAATGTTTGTGGGCGTGGCATCTGGCGCCGCCTTTGTGGTCCTGCCAATTTTTATCAACGAAATTGCCGAATCTCGAGAGAAAGCCGCACTGCTGACCTTTACCATCGAACTGTGGCGCACGCTGGGCATCCTGATAGGATTCGTCCTGGGCTTTTACATGCCCTACGATCTGGTCAACATCGTGGGCTGTGCGGTATCCTTTGTGTTCACGATGACTTTCCCCTTCGTGCAGGAGAGTCCGCACTACTATCTGCGCAGGAATAATGTGGCTAGCTTGGAGAAGTCCCTGCGCTGGTATCGAGGCATCCGGGACATCGACGATCGCGAGAAACCGGAGTACATCAGTGAACTGGCCGAGTTTCAGGCGGAGCTGAGGAGCAAGGACAAGAATGTGGGCTCCACGCCCATGTCGCACGGATATATCATCCGGCTGACTTTCGTCAGCTTTCTGCTGACCGTGTGCGCCAAGCTGAGTGGCGTTTTTGTGGAGCTGAACTACGCTGCAGATTTCCTCGGCCGCACCGGCTACTCCCCGGAAACCAATTATATAATCTTGGCCAGCGCCCAGTGCGTCGGAGCGCTCTTCGCCCGCCTCCTGGGTCCCCGTCTGCCACGCAAAGTAAGTGTGCATTTAATTAATTAATATAAGGGAATTTTTAGAGAATTAAACCACAATCATTTAGAAGTATGCCGCTTTAAAATCATATGTCTGCAAGAAAAGTTATGGGCTTAGAAGTGCAGTTTATTGACATTTTTTTTTCAAAGCCATTTTTCGAAAATTTGGAAATGACGAAAAACCGACCCAAAATTACAAATCAAGCTGAGTATACAGCTTTTTAGAGAATAAAACCACAATTATTTAGAAGTATGCCACTTAGAAATCGGATGTCTGTAAGAAAAGTTATGGGCTAAGAAGTGCAGTTTTTGGACACTTTTCTGCAAAACCATTTTTCGGAAATTCAGCATAAAGAAAATGACGAAAAACCGACCCAAAATTACAAATCAAGCTGAGTAAACAGTTTTTTAGAGCATTAAACCACAATCATTTAGAAGTATGACACTTTCAAATGGGATATGTGCAAGAAAAGTTATGGGATTCGAAGTGCAGTTTCTTGTCCCTTTTTTGCAAAGCCATTTTTCGAAAAATAGAAAAGGGGTTAGCGTTATGAAAATGAAATGAAAAATCGGCCCAAAATTACAAAGCAAACTGAAAATACTGTTTTTTAAAGAATTAAACCACAATCATTTAGAAGTATGCCACTTTAAAATGTCTGCAAGAAAAGTTAAACCCTTAAAAGTGCAGGTTTTAAGTCAATTTTCTGAAATTTTTCGAAAATGTAAAGGGATAACATCATGTTGCCATTTTAATAACGAAACGCAGATTACAACTAACATAAATTAGTCCCTAATCCTTTATTTCCTGTTTTAAATATTGTTTGCAGCTCCTGCTCTGCCTTTCGTCACTCTTCGCAGCTGCTGCGGTCATGGCATTGGCATTATTCAAGGTATACGGCCACCTTTGGCAGCTGGGCGGTTGGGCGGATCGCTATTTGCCCATTGTCCTGCTGGCCCTTCAGCTGGCCTTTGTTAGCTTTGGTCTTTATCCGCTGGCTGCTGTTGTCAGCAGCGAGGTTTTGCCCACAAAGGTAAGTTATTTCCTTTCTGGGGAAAATTTATTTAGACCTGCGTTTATTATTCCTGGCGGTCTGGTTTAAATTTAGTTGCAATTTAATATATTTTTTTATTATTTTTATTTTGTTTAATTTTTGTTTAGTTTTAATTTAAATATTTGGGTGTTCACCAAATACAGAATACCTCTACCTTTTGACCTTACCTAGTTTTTTTTTTTTTTACATTAGATTTATTATATACATATTTTTCAATTTTTATTGCCCTTTGATTTTAATAATTTAAAGTTTCTAAATTGTGTTCCTTCAATGAAATTATGCTCCCTTGGTAATTTATACACGCCTCCTTAAATCAATTGTTCAAACAAGCAGACAATTTGCCCATTATTAATTACGTAACTATAATGTTAGCATTGAGCTCAAATGACCCATTAATTAAGAGCGAGGCATTAAACAGGATATTATATTAATGATCACTTTACCACTTAATCGTATATTTAATGACCTTTAATCGCTTGGCAGCTCCACGATTTGCTGTACTCACTGGCATCTGCCGTTTCCTGGCTACTGCTCTTCGGCATGATTGAGGTGGGTGTTAATACTTAATACTTGAAGCCCTCAGATTTATAAATTTAATATGTGTGTGCTACTTGCAGGCATTTAATGCGGTCAAAGCCTCAATCGCCCCCGGCTTGGTGCTATATTTGTGGGTCTTTGCCGGCGCTTCCATATTCGTGGGACTTATTTCCATTCCACTCCTGCCGGAGACCCGCAATCGACGTCCTTCGGCGGTGCAACGTGAGCTGGGATATGTGGACGATGGCGGAGTGGCCAAAGGATCGGCGGCGACCAACGGACACATTTCCACACACATCTGAGATGCTCGAGTATTAACTCACTGTTAGTTTTACTTATGATATTAAAAACGAATTTAGTTTTAAAGTTCTCACAAATGAATACAAAAAGTGGTAAATGTACGATATAAAACACTGATATACAAAAAAACAAAAGAGCCGATCATTTTTTTGGGTATAGTTGAGGCTGAACAATCAAGAAATAGTTAATTACTCAAACGGCTGGTAACACCATGTGTTGGTTGAGGGCTTTATCGTTTACCCCCAATCTTGGTTGTTAGGTTACGGGTCTTATCTCGGTTACGGTCTACAAAGAACCTTTCATCATAAAACTCCAAGTGAACAAATCTTGTGATAAAACTTACGGTAAGTGCTTTTACCTAGCGGTAATGTACAGAAGTCTAGAAAGATATTCTTATGAAATGTATATTTTGTACACGTGTCTATGTTTTGGAAGATATTCTGAAATCTTTAGATAGGAAAAGATGAGATGCACGCCTGTCACATACATTTATTTTTTTTAAATGAAATTAGTTCGGACAAACAAAATTATATTTTAATAAAACAAGATGAGTAGGAAGTTAATTGTAAGTAAAATAAAACTCCCTGCTTAGGACTCAATAAATAAGTTCTCAAATCAATAAGTGGTATTATTGATAGATCAGAAATATCCAATTTTTATCAATATTCGTAAGTACTAGGAGCATTCAGGCAATCATTTTAATGCACCCAACTTCACATGTTTAGATCACTTGTCGACAGGCACCAGGCACGCATCACTTTCGCATGGCAAACAATCTGGTTTAATTCACTCGCGGCACCGACTAATCCAAATTTACGGGTAAATTTCCGGAGAAGTTGCCAAAAATGGCGAGTGCGCGACAATCGTTTGGGTTTAGTATCTTGACTGGGCAAATATTTGCTCTACTAGAGCTTATTTACAGTAGCTCCTCTCTTTTCGGTGGAATAAGTACGTATACGCATTGTAAAGAGAGGCCTTTTCTCATTGAACGCATATCAAATCAGGAAAAAGTAAACAAAATTGTAAAAATAATTGTAATCGGCTGGAGAGGGTTAGCAACAAAAACAAATTTGCATTAACACCCAGGGGCAATAATTAACTATTTTCTGTGACAGTTGATTCGCTTTTGCTCTTATTTAGCCAGAGCATAATGGGGCAATGATAACGGTCTATAATCTACGCCACTCGTTCTGCTTCGCCGTACAACTAAGCTCGTTTACGATCTAATGCAATATATAAATATTATCATCCAGCCACTGGTTTCGCTTAGTTAAACGCGAACTCTTACGGAACCGTCACGTCTAGGTCCGGAAAATAAAACCCAAGTACAAAAGAAACGGAGGACTCGCCGGGCTATGACTTATGTCTTTTAGTTATAAAGTATATACAAAATGAGTTCCTCCGGTAGTGATAAGTACCAGTACTTAGCTGCTTTAAGTGGTTAGTAAGATGTTCTTAGAAAATAAAACCTTTAAAATAAAATTGATTATGAATTTATAATCAAAATATATATACTCAATTATCACAGTCAAACTTCCGAAAAATGAAAAAAAGACTTTTTGTTAAAGAAAAATAATTTTATTAATTAAATGGCCCTTTGCTTAATTGAGATGAAAAACAGCACAACAGGGAAGTAAAAGGTATAGAAGTTCGACCGCAAAGTTAAAAAAATGTAAATTGAACTTGTTGCTGCTTTGGACAGCATATTTGGCTCTAATTAAAATCTACTTATTCATTCTTCTGGTTTATTTTAATTGTACTATTTTGGCCCTCAGTGAACATTATTTCCATATCGTATGGCGCATTTTGTGGTTGGCCTTCGGCCAGTTTTCTGGAATTGGCATCAGAAAATAGCCCTTTGGAAACAGGACCTCTGACGGGCAAGGATCAGGGATGGGTGGCATCGAATATTTGTTTGGGAGGCTTGTTTGGAACCTTTTTGTTTACGTGGTTGGCGGACAAAATAGGCAGAAAACAGAGCCTCCTGTGGATGGCACTGCCTAACTTGGTAATTGACCACATTAATTTTAATTGAATCTAACTAATATTGGTTTATTTACAGCTGGGTTGGGTTATAATACCATTCGCTAGCAACCCGATGCATTTAATTATCGCCCGATTTATTGGAGGTGCGGCAGGCGGTGGATGTTTCACGGTTATTCCAATTTATATAGCTGAATTGGCATCTGACAGGTAAGACATCCTTTTCAATTCACTAAGTTTAAACTGAAATACCTCTACTTGCTTTAGTATACGAGGCGTTTTGGGTGTCTTTCTGGTGCTGACCTGCAATGCGGGAGTTGTGCTGGCTTTTGTCCTTGGCTACTACTTCAACTATGCCCAAGTGTCCTGGATTGTCTCCACATTGTCCTTCGTGTATGTGGGCTGCTTCTGGTTCATGCCCGAGACACCGCAGCACTTGGCCAAAGTAAACAAGATTGAGGAGGCTGAGCATTCCTTGCGGTATTATCGCAACATTAAGTCCAATCCGACCAAGGAGCTGAGTGAAGAGCTTCAGCTGGAACTGCAGAAGCTGAAAACCACAGAGAAACCAGGTGCCGAAGCAGATGATGACGATGCCGAAGCCACTGGTGTGACATGGGCGGACTTTGGTGAGTTATCAAAAGACGATAAAGTCCTAAGCTGTTTCTTAACATTTTAATACAATTGAAGTTGGCTACAATTTTAAAGTTTAGTAATTGCTTTATATTTGTTGATATGACCGAGAACAGAACTAGAAAATACGAAAGGACTTAAACTAGATGCCACAGCTTTAACTTACAAGTTCAAAAAATAATTGTAATTATTATGCTTTACTTAGAAAATGCATAAATTATTACGAAAATGCAATTTTGCGTATGAGTAATTTTATAAATAAACACCTATTTAAATGCAATAAGCCAATTACCGTAATGGACAGTTATATAAATTGAATACCTTTTCTTCAATTATTAGAAATTTTGAAATTAAATTCTTATTAAAAAGAATAGCAGTAAAAGGGAACTTGATTGTGTAAATTACTACTAAAATGATTGGCTAATCCAATTTTGAGTATCATTGCTGACACAAATATCTGAGCTTATTGAAATGTCTGCAGTGACTTTTATCCCTGGTATTTGGCTACATATTTGACTGCGTTTAAATGTTTTTTTTTTGTATATCCCCAGCTGAGGGCAAGACCCGGAAGGCTTTCCTCATCGGACTCGGACTGATAAGCTTTAACCAGCTTTGCGGTTGCTTTGCAATGCTAAACTACACAGCGGTGATTTTCGAGCAGGCGGGTTCCAGTCTCCCGCCAACGGTGGCTGCCATTGTTGTGGGCACCATTCAGCTGGTGGGCACCTATGCATCCTCGATTCTGGTGGATCGATTGGGCCGCAAGATACTGCTGCTGGTGTCGGCAGTGGGCATCGGTCTGGGCCAGAGTGCCATGGGCACGTACAGCTATTTTCAGGTGCTCGGATACCAGGTGGCCTCCTACAGCTGGGTTCCCATCGCCGGCTTCTCGTTTATGCTCCTCCTCGCCGCCATCGGACTGCTGTCCTTGCCCTTCCTGGTCATGTCGGAGATAATGCCGCAGAAGATAAGGAGCACGGCGATAATGATGCTCATGTCGGTGCTCTGGATGATTTCCACATTCGTCATTAAGGTGAGATATATTGTTGGAAAATATGTATGAATATTCTTTGAATTAATTGTTAATTTTAAACAGTTTATGCCGCTTTTTACTGAGACACTCGGAATGCATGGAACCGTCTTCATGTTCGCCAGTTTATCCTTCGCAGCAGCCATATTCATTGCCATTTTCGTGCCCGAAACCAAGGGCAAAAGTGTGGAGGCCATCTTGGCCAGCCTTTAGTATTAAAAGCTTACAGTAAAATGTGTTGTTATGGTTTTGAATAAAATATGAAAGAAAATCCACTCAGTTTATTAAGAGGAATGCTAACCTTGATTATAAAAGCGAGCACAGTTACCATGATTGTCATCAGGAAAAGCATCTACAACAATTAGCTGTCTATTTGGCAGCCTTGATCTTCCACAGCTGCCGTCATACAGCAGATTTTTTTAACAATCCAAAATATAAGATAAGATTCATTTAGATAAGACCAAATATATGTGGCCCATAGAGATGTAGATTAGGCTTTTCGTAAAATTACTTACTGAGAATATTTTACTTATTTGCACTAATGAAATATTTCAAATTAAGTTTTAAGTTAGAGGGTAAAATCTTAAAAAAAAAATCAATTTAAAGTTATTATTTAATTGAAATTTTGGATTGGTATTTACTTATTTACTTGTTAGCAAAACTATTTCATGTTTTTATCTATCGTTTCAAATAGTATGGATTCCTGCTGAATCCCTAAAATTTTTATACCCTTGCAGAGGGTATTATAATTTCAGTCAAAAGTTTGCAACGCAGTGAAGGAGACATTTCCGACCCTATAAAGTATATATATTCTTGATCAGCATCACCAGGAGAGTCGATCTAGCCATGTCCGTCTGTCCGTCTGTCCGTCCGTCGGTCCGTCCGTCTGTCCGTCTGTCCGTCTGTCCGTCTGTCCGTCCGTTTCTACGCAAACTAGTCCCTCAGTTTTAAAGCTATCTGCTTGAAACTTTCCCAAAAGTTGTATTTCTATTGCAGGTAGTATATAAGTCGGAACGAGCCGGATCGGGCCACTATATCATATAGCTGCCATATAACTGAACGATCGGAAAAGCCATAACTTTGGTGTTTTTAAAGTTAGGAAGTTGGGATTTTCTATGGGTTTTATTTTTGGCTAATCAATCCGACCTACCAAATTTCATAAGGATCGGACGACTATATCCTATAGCCGCCATATAACTGATTGATCGGAAAAGCCATAACTTTGGTGTTTTTAAAGTTAGGAAGTTGGGATTTTCTATGGGCTTTATTTTTGGCCAATCAATCCGACCTATCAAATTTCATAAGGATCGGCCGACTATATCCTATAGCTGCCATATAACTGAACGATTGGAAATGCCATAACTTTGGTGTTTTTAAAGTTAGGAAGTTGGGACATTTTATGAGTATTAAGAATACATCATATGAATAATTTTGGACAATATAATTTATAAAATATTCTGCAAGGGTATATCAACTTCGGCTCCGCCCGAAGTTAGCTTTCCTTTCTTGTTTATAACAAAATTGTTTGGTATTCAAATGAACAGTAATTAAAAAAACCTCGAATATGGGTGCTTGGTCTACGCATTCGTAATAATGTAGACATTGTTTTATGTAGTCTACTTCTGGGATACACTAAATTAATTTTCATTTGACTTGAGTAGCTTTTATCTTCAAACACACCGTTTAAAACGGCAAACGGTGTTTACCTTGTGAAATTATTTACCTGGTAGCGTTAGTGGAAAAAATTCAACAGACAATCTTAATTTTATTGCTTGAAAGAGGAGTTTGCCAGCTCGAGTTTAATCTGTGTGCAAAAACAGACAGCAAACAAATTGGTTAGCAATTAAATATACTGTTTGTAGAGATACCCGCAAGGGGGACGATAGAAACAGAAAAATGGCAACATTTTTCAAGAATTCCTTGCAAAGGCACACACACGATGTAAACTTTTTGCCACTCTGATTGGCGAGTTGAATGTGCGCCAAATAGAAATTGCAATCCAAATGTGGATTTCCTATGTATTGAATCCGATGTTCAGCTTTTGGTCAAGGATTAGGCTGGCTTTCCAAAATCAAATGTGGATTTCCTGTGCAGTGAATATGACGTTCATCTGTAGGCCATGGATTAGGCTGGGTTTCAGCGACGTTGTACAAAATCCAAAGCCCGATTCCCCGTTGGGCTTTCAAGTTAATATGGATGAAATATGCTGGATATGTTCCATGCAGTTTCACTGGTATCGACTGGCAGGAATATCTGCATTCATATATTAAAGTTAGGAAGTTTGAATTTTTTATGAGTATTAAGAATGCATCATATGAATAATTTTGGAGAATATAATTTACAGAGTATTCTGCAAGAGTATATCAACTTCGGCTCCGCCCGAAGTTAGCTTTCCTTTCTTGTTTTTATTTCACCTCTTGATGTACAAGAAATTTTGAGTTGTTTAAAATGCATATCTTATTAAAATTTATTGCAAGCATTCCTTCAAGCTCTGCAAGTGGAAAAGTTTGAATATCCTTGAAATGTATGTTATTAGCAAACTACAGATGCTTCTGAAACTTGTAGAGCTTTTTGTACCAGAAGTTTCCCCGTTTCGGCCCTATCTACTAAATTGCTGGTTGAGTCTGGACCAACATCGTAAATGTTACAGCTTAATACCAGACGAGACAGACAAGCCCCTTTTTTTTGTGGTCTCATCCCCTGGATGGTAAAAGTAGAAATTAGTTGTTTGCGTTGTGAAATGTTTCTGTCCAGAAAACCAACTTAATTTACTTAATCTTTTCGCTGAGGAAGAAAAAGTGTGTCTCTTATCTTTACAATGTAATTTGTGACGTTGAGGTGGGGCTGGGGATTTGACAATTCGAAAACACAGATATATAGGCAGCAAACTTAATACCTACAATGATCTCTAATATAGCGGATATAAAGTTTATGAAGGTTTTCAGCAGCGAGCTTTTGTATCTGCTCGGTTTTTAGAACCAATCGAGGCAAAACGCTGGAGTGTGGCTGACATTGGCACGGTAGAAATGGCTGGGATTTTCGAGAACTCCCTGCTGCGGCACAAAACACGTTACCAGCTTTTGGCCACCGTAATTGGTAAGTTAGAGCCCTTAAAATTGCCCTTATCCATTACTGCCATTGGCATATATGCCTTAGTAAACATCATTACCTTTGGACATGGAGTGGGAGTGGGCTGGCTCTCACCGACTCTTACCAAAATTCAAACGCCTGACTCGCCGCTGGATTTTGAAGTTAATCTTGCAGAGATTTCCTGGCTCGGCTCGATGCTGGGATTGGGAAGCCTTTGTGGTAATTTAACCATAGCTCTGCTAATTGAGAGAGCCGGCAGGAAATTTTGCCTCTATCTCATGGCCGTACCTTATGCGGTGGGTTTCAGTTGTTGATTAATTATCAGTCCCCTAAAAAAGAGAATTTTCGCTCGTCTAGTGTATTTGGATTTTGATTTACTGCGCCTCGAATGTGTACTTCCTGTATGCAGCCAGATTTTTGTGTGGATTCACCGGCGGAGCAGGTTACGTAGTGGTTCCCATTTTCATCAGCGAAGTGGCCGACAGCAAGTGAGTTTTTTTGGTAGGGAAAATCACAATTTACCTCTCTATTCATACTTTTCTAGCATTCGAGGTGCCCTGACTTCCATTGTGATGTTATCCGTCGATTTGGGAATACTGGCTGGCTATATACTCAGCACTTATCTGGCCTATCACGTTGTACCCTTCTTGGCCATTATCTTGCCGGTGGCCTACTTTATTGCCAATATGATGTTGCCCGAAACAGCGCCATATCTGCTAAAGAAAAGCCAACTTTCTGCGGCCGAGAACTCATTTAATTACTACAGAAATCAGCGGAATGCAATCGGCGAAGAAACATCTAAGGATAATTTTGAGGAGCTTCGCACAGCAGTTCTGGCTCAGCAGACGAGGAATTCTACACCGCTGAGTTACAAGGACCTCAGTGAGTAAGGATCACAGCCTTGAATATCGCTCTTTAAAAATGAATACTTTCCAGTTACCAAGCCAGCTCTTAAGGGGTTTGCAGCCTCAATTGTCCTCAGCACGGGATATCAATTCAGTGGAGTTTTCAGCTTCATCAACTATATGTCCGATATATTCAAGGCATCTGGCTCGATTGTGGACGTCAATACTGCCACCATTATCATTGGGATAGTGCAAATCGTTGGGGTCTATACCTCTACTATATTTGTGGACATCGTGGGAAGGCGACTCCTGATGTTGATCTCTACAATGGGAGTGGGAATCGGATGCATTGCCTTCGGTTGCTTCACTTATTTCGCCGAAAGCTATGATCTCAGCGATTTCAATTGGCTTCCTTTGGTGCTGATGATATTAATCTGTTACGTGGCCAATATTGGACTTATTGGAATCTTTTTCCTGGTCCTGGTTGAGCTCTTTCCAGTGAAGGTACATTTTTTAGGACCCTTAAGATTGGTTTTTGTTCCCTGACATCTCTTTCTTTTGTTATTTACAGATTCGCTCCCTGGCCACTTCCATTTCTGTGATTTTCTTGAGTGTCCTGGTCTTTGGCACCTTGAAACTATTCCCCCTGATGCTGCACTATTGGGGAATTTCCATAACCATGTGGTTCTCCGCTGCTTCTGGACTGCTTACTTTCCTTTACTTCTGGCTGTTTCTCCAGGAAACCAAAGGAAAGTCCATGATTGAGGACTAACCTCCTGGAACTAAAGAGATGTCAGCACGCTGTCATTATTTTTTTTTAAATAAACACTAAACATTGTTATATAAAAAAAAAATAATAAATAAAACAAATCTCCAAAAAATAAAAAACTTTATTAAAAACTGCATTTCTACTTGTTATTCTTGATTCTGGTTTTGGTACAGATTTATTTATTTATTTAAATGCCATTTTAAGAAACTCATTAGAGACTTCGGACTACAACTATTTAAATTTTTTCATTCCCAACAAAAATTTGAACGATTTCCATAAGTAACAACAAATTAAATTTCTTTATTTCGCAATGTCCATTTTCCGATAAATCTTTCGATATTTCCTATGGCATATATATGATACATTCGTTAATTTTTTATACCCTTGCAGAGGGTATTATAATTTTGGTCAAAAGTGTGCAACGCAGTGAAGGAGACATCTCCGACCCTATAAAGTATATATATTCTTGATCAGGATCACCTCCTGAGTTGATATAGCCATGTCCGTCTGTCCGTCTGTCCGTCTGTCCGTCTGTCCGTCTGTCCGTCTGTCCGTCTGTCCGTCTGTCCGTCTGTCTGTCCGTCTGTCTGTTTCTACGCGAACTAGTCTCTCAGTTTTAAAGATATCGAACTGAAACTTTGCACACACCCTTCTTTCCTTTGCACGCAGTATATAAGTCGGAACGGCCGGGATCGGACGACTATATCCTATAGCTGTCATATAACTGAACGATCGGAAATGCCATAACTTTGGTGTTTGTAAAGTTAGGAAGTTGAGATTTTCTATAGGTTTTATTTTTGGCCAATCAATCTGACCTACCGAATTTCATGAGAATCGGCCGACTATATCTTATAGCTGCCATATAACTGAACGATCGGAAATGCCATAACTTTGGTGTTTGTTAAGTTAGGAAGTTGAGATTTTCTATAGGTTTTATTTTTGGCCAATCAATCTGACCTACCGAATTTCATGAGAATCGGCCGACTATATCTTATAGCTGCCATATAACTGAACGATCGGAAATGCCATAACTTTGGTGTTTGTTAAGTTAGGAAGTTGGGATTTTCTATGGGTTTTATTTTTAGCCAATCAATCCTACCTATTAAATTTCATAAGGATCGGCCGACTATATCCTATAGCTGCCATATAACTGAACGATTGGAAATGCCATAACTTTGGTGTTTTTAAAGTTAGGAAGTTGGGATTTTTGTTGAGTATTAAGAATGCATATGAATAATTTTGGAGAATATAATTTTCAGAGTATTCTGCAAGGGTATATCAACTTCGGCTCCGCCCGAAGTTAGCTTTCCTTTCTTGTTTAAAAATAAAACCGTTGATAATGTTATTTATGTTATTATTCTATTTGATTGTGAATGGTGAAGGTATGTGCTTATTGTTTATTGCATAATAAATTTAGAATTACATCCTCCTGATCTCTGTGTGAAGGTATGTTCTTCTTGTCGTAAAAACTACCTTTTCTTTATAGCTGAGGGAATATTTGCGATTATTGCATAATTTTATTTGACCTTTCATTTATTTATGTCGATTTTACAAATTATATTTTAACTGGCAAATACACATATGTTGCTTACAAAAGATACCTAGTATCCCATAACTAGAGTCCTCGAAACCTAGAAATGTTAATGTTACGTTAATGAAAATTTTTTTAGTGGCTTTGGGGTTATCTAGTTTAGATAACCCGGCAAACAGTATATAAGCGGAATTGAAAGTCGCAGACATTATTATACTCTTCTGGCAATCGCAACAGCAAGTTAGACGTTAAAAATGCGCTTTTCCTCGCTTTTCGCCAATCCTGATTGTCTCTTGAGTAGCAGGAATCGTTATCAGTTCCTGGTAACTTGGATGGGTAAGGAATCGAATAAAATACCGGTGGATGAATCCCCTCAAGAGCTTTTCACTTACCAGTGACCATCGTGACCTTTTCGCATGGCCTGGGCGTGGGTTGGATGTCCCCGGTGATGAGGGATCTGCCGACCGATCAGTCACCCCTCGATTTCCCCGTTGTGGTGGCGGACATTTCCTGGATAGGATCCCTGGTGGGAATTGGAAGCATGTTAGGTAACATTCTGGCCGGCACTTTGATGAATCGGATCGGACGCAAGCTGGTCATGTTCGGCATTGCTTTTCCCTACATGGTGAGATAAAATGTAAGATGACAATACTTGACCAACTATTTCATCATGGGGATTGATATTTCCCAGATGTTTTGGTGCATGATCTACTTCGTCCAGAGCGTGGAGTTCCTTTATGTGGGTCGACTGCTGGCCGGAATGACTGGCGGGGCCGCTTATGTCGTCCTTCCAACATTTATCAGCGAGATTGCCGACGACAAGTGAGTGAACTTAAAGAGATAAGAAAAGTTACAGCCACAAATATATGAATTTAAATCATACCCAGAATTCGCGGTCGTCTCGGATCCATGATCCTGTTGATGGTGAACACGGGCGTCCTTACGGGTTACATTGTGTCCTCGAGTTTCAATTATTTCTCGACACCCCCGTTTATTATCCTCCTGCCCTTGAGTTACTTTATCGGCAATTTCCTGATCCCGGAGACACCACATCACCTTATTCGCAAGGGAAAGTTCGAGGAAGCCGAAAAGTCTTTTAGGTTTTACAAAAACATCAGGAGAGATGACATCAAGGCTGAAAGTGAATTCGAGGATTTAAAGACTCGATTGATTGAAATGGAAAAGGATAAGGCGCAGTCCTTCAATTACAAGGATTTCAGTGAGTGATAAGGATTATATAATTTTTTTATTGATATACTAATGTATACTGTACTCTTTTTTCTTAAAGTTACAAAACCTGCTTTTAAAGGCTACGCCTCTGCGTTTGTCCTGCTGTTTGCAAATCAGTTCAGTGCCAGTTTCAGTGTGTCGTCTTATTTGTCGACCGTCTTTGCCGCATCTCACACCACCTTGAATCTGACCATGTGCACCATAATTATTGGATTCCTTCAGATAGTGGGAACCTACGCAACCACTTTGTTGTGCGACAAATTTGGACGCAGGATCCTCATGTTGGTGTCCTCTTTGGGATCATCTGTTTGCCTGGCTGTCTTCGGAATCTACACACATTTCGCCGGGATATATGATCTGACTGCCTTTGGTTGGCTGCCCCTGGTGATCCTGTCCTTCTACATATGCCTCGTCAACATTGGCCTGGTGGGTTGTGTCTTCGTCCTGCTCCTGGAGCTGTTTCCGGCTAAGGTGAGCTCTTCTTTTTAAAATCCCTATGTTTTGGTCACTTTACTTTACAATTTAACTGGCAGATTCGTTCCGTTTGTGTGTCAGCTGCAACTGTATTATTAAGTGGCATCGTGTTCCTGGCCCTCAAAATATTCCCCATCTGCGTGGCTGATTGGGGCATCTCGGTGACCATGTGGTGCTGCAGTGGCTGCACGATTTGCTGCTTTTTCTATTTCCTCTTCTTCCTGGAGGAGACAAATAGCAAATCGCTGTTGGAGGGCTGAATTCCTGGAGCTTTTGTACACTGTCTTGGAGAAACAGTAAATGAAATTCGAGAATTAGTTAAAAACAAATATTTAAAACAATATAGATTTAATTGAAAACAATTTTTAAAAAAGCGAAATAAAGCAAACCGACATCGAATTTGTGGTTTTCAGTAGAAAGTCTTTTTAAGTGTATTCACATTTGTTAGACGTAAACGTCATAAAAGTCTTCGGCTTATCTGGTTTAGATAAACCGGTAACTGAATATTTAAGGGGAAGTTCCGACCGTAGATGAAACTCAGTTAGTCTGGAGAAAGCATCTCGACCATGACGTTGAAATTGCGCTTGGCCTCGGTCTTTGACAATCCCAATTGCCTGCTGGGACGCAGGAATCGGCATCAGTTCCTGGTCACCTTGCTGGGTAGGGGATCAAGTGAAGTCCAGGTGGATGATTCCCTTATAAAGCTATTTACTCTCCAGTCAACATAGCCACTTTCTCGCATGGCCTGGGCGTGGGTTGGATGTCGCCGGTGATGAGGGATCTTCAGACGGACGAGTCACCCCTGAATTTCCCCGTGCTGGTGGGCCAGGTCTCTTGGATAGGATCTTTGGTGGGCATTGGCAGTGTGGTGGGCAATCTGCTGGCCGGATTTCTACAGGATCGTATTGGACGCAAGCCGGTTTTGTTCTTTATTGCCATGCCCTACACGGTGAGATGAGTCGGCCTTTTTGGGAAGTAACTATTTCACCACTCTTGTATTATCTGCGATTCGTCTAGATCTTCTGGTGCCTGGTTTATTTCGTCCAGAGTGTGGAGTTCCTGTACATTGGCAGACTGATGGCCGGCATGACTGGTGGCGCCTGTTACGTCGTTCTTCCGACCTTCATCAGCGAGATTGCTGACACCAAGTAAGTGTTTTAATTTGGAGCGTGCTGAATGATAAACTACTTGTCTATAAATCTTCACAGCGTGCGCGGTCGTCTGGGCTCCATTATCTTACTATCGGTGAACTCGGGAGTTCTGGCGGGTTATATTGTGTCTACAAGTGCGGATTACTACACATCTCCCCCGTTCATTCTCGCCCTGCCAGTTTGCTATTTCATCTGTAATTTTCTGTTTCCCGAAACCCCACATCACCTTATTCGCAAGGGCAAATTCGAAGCGGCCAAAAGGTCGTTTATGTTCTACAAAAATATTAAGAGAGATGACCTCAAGGCTGAGAGTGAATTCGAGGAACTCAAGTATCTCCTTACCAAAGAAGAGACAGAGAAGGCTAAGTCATACGATTACAAGGATTTTAGTGAGTAGTTCAGGGTTTACTTGATACTTATTTATGTTAACCCCTTTATCGCTTCAGTTACCAAACCTGCATTTAAGGCCTATGCTTCTGCCGCTGCCCTGCTAATATCCAATCAATTTAGTGCCAGTTTTTGTGTTACCACCTATTTGTCGGACGTCTTTGCAGCCTCTTATACCACTCTGAATCTGAGTATGTGCACCATTATCATCGGAGTCCTTCAGATCGTGGGAAATTATGCGACCACCCTGCTGTGCGATAAGTACGGACGCAGGATCCTCATGCTGATCTCCACATCCGGTGCCTCTATTTGCCTGACTGCCTTCGCCAGCTACACTTACTTTGCAAAGAGGTATGATCTCTCGGTGGTTGGATGGCTACCACTCGTGATCCTATCCTTTTTCGTATTCCTCTGCAATATCGGTATGGTGGGATGTCTCTTTGTGGTCCTCGTTGAGCTCTTTCCCTCAAAGGTGGGTTCTATTTATTTACTCAAAGACTCTACCCCTAACGTTTGTATACATTTTCAGATCCGATCGGTGGGAGTCTCAACCTTTGTGGTCATCCTTAGCAGCACCGTGTTCCTCACTCTGAAAATCTTTCCCATCTGCATGGCTGTTTGGGGCATCTCTGTTACCATGTGGTGCTGTAGTGGCATTACGTTTTCCTGCTTTCTCTACTTTTGCTTCTTTCTGGAAGAGACCAAAGGCAAATCGCTACTGGAGGCTTAGTTTATTTGTCGGAAAGATAATGGTTTTATCAAATTTGTCGCACCCGTGCGATTAGTCTAAGCCAGTAGCTATCTTTACGGCCAGAGGATACCGACCGGATACTTAAGCCGATTTCTCAGTAGAATGCCCTTTCAGTGAGCAGAGATACCTGGCCAATGCAAGACTGAATAAAGATCAGGGTCTTTTTTTTGTATATAACAAGAGGATACGTTGTTTTTATTGGGACAAAATGCTGTTGAAATTATTTCAAAGGCCTAATTGCTTGCTCAATCGAAGGAATCGATACCAGCTGCTGACTACGCTGTTGAGTAAGTAACTCCTTAAAAAACTACTACTCTTATTCGTTAGTAATAATATCTAATATAGACAATTTATAGAAATTTCCTAACTAGTGATCAACTTTTATTTACATTATTACCTACCTGTGCAGTTAATGTTATATCCATATCCCATGGAATTGGCATTGGATGGCTATCGCCCACTTTGAGGAAGCTGCAATCCGACTCACCAGTGGGTTTCGAGGTGAAGTCCGAATTCGAAATCTCATGGGTGGGTTCCATGTTGGGAATGGGCTCGGTGACTGGCAATATTTTGATAGGATCCCTGCTCGGACGCCTCGGCAGCAAAAGGTGTCTTCTATTCATCGCCATTCCGCACTCGGTAATTTGTCAGACAGAACAATGGAATTGTCCTAATATTGTGTGTGCTTTTAGTGCCTGTGGATCCTGGTCTACTTTGCCAAAAGTGTGGAGTACCTGTACGTGGGGCGACTTTTAGGTGGCATCTGTGGCGGCGGCATGTACATTGTTCATCCCATTTTCCTCAGTGAAATCGCAGATGCCAAGTAAGTGGATAATTTATGGCTTGTTGCTAAAAGATTATCATGATTGCATGCTTGTATAAGATAATGTTAGACTTTTCTTATTTTGAAGTATTGTATCATTCTGTTGAAGTGCCGATAAACAAACAATAAGATAGCTTAGTTAACACTTACTCATCGCTTTCAGCATCCGAGGCACCTTCTCAGCCATGGTGATGTTATCAGTCAACGTAGGCGTACTTTTGGGGTATATTATGGGCACCCACATGTCGTACTACTCAATTCCCTGGATAGTGCTGCTCTTGCCCTTGTGCTACCTCATTTCTGTATTGTTCTTCATAAAGGAATCCCCCATGCATCTGATAAGAATTGGCAAATACTCAGCCGCTGAAAGATCTTTTCGTTACTATAAGAACATCAAGGACAGCGATAATATTCACGATCAGAATAGAGCCATGGAGGAGTTTGATCTCATGAAAATTGCCCTGACCAAGGGTGATCCTTTGATGGATGCCATCACCTTCAAAGACTTTTGTAAGTTTTACAATATCATATTATATCACAAAATTATTATATACATATATGTATTAGACGTATTTTTATTTTATTTATTTATTTTTTGAAAGGCACTCGCCCCGCTCTCAAGGCCTATGGTCCCGCACTGGTTCTGTTGATTGCCAATCAGTTTAGTGGACTCTTCACCATGGTCAACTACATGTCGGATATTTTTGCCAAATCGGGCAGCACAATGGACCCCGATACCTGCACCATCATCATTGGAGCTGTCCAAATTCTTGGCACCTATGTCACCACTCTGCTGTGCGACATCTGTGGACGGAAGCTTCTTATGTTGGTTTCCACGGCAGGAGTGGCCATTAGCCTGACGGCTTTCGGATTTTTCACACAATACGCACAGAGCCATGACGTTAGTGAATATAGCTGGATACCCCTGCTCCTTATGTCGATGGACATTTTCCTGGGCAACATCGGCCTAGTGGGTTGCTTCTTTGTCAGTCTCGTGGAAATGTTTCCTGTCAAGGTAAGCTCCCAGAATACACTCAATTTGAATCGATTATAATCTTCTCAATTATTTCATCTAGATACGTGCCAAGGCAGCCTCTATGGCAATTGTGGTTTGCAGCAGCTTTGTATTCGTTATGCTCAACATTTTCCCAATTTGCATGAAACAGTGGGGAATATCCATAACTATGTGGTCGTGTGCAGGTGTCACTGCGTTTAGTTTTATTTACTTTACATATTTCATGAAGGAAACCAAGGGCAAGTCCATGTTGGATGACTAAATGTTGTATTGTTAATTGTATTTTCAATAAATTGTGTTTCCTTAAAACGATGATGATGGCTGATGGTGGTTGGGTCCTAAGCATGGAAAACCACTTAAGAAAAAACCATGGGCTAATGTATTGGTGTCAAATGTTTTTTTAAAAAGTCTTTAAAATAAGACAAAATATTTTAGTTTAGCTTACACTTTCATGTATATTTAAATAGGTTTATTTACATATAATTAGATAATATGAACAAAATACAATTTAGGCCATCGGCTTATACATTTTGCTGGTGATCTTTTTCATTTCAATTACATAATTTGCTTTTTCCTAACAAGCACAAATCACTAATGCTCTCCAATTAAAACTAATTAAAAAACTAGCATACTAAATCACAGTGTTTTTTCCCAAGCGAAAAAAATTTGCAATATTCTACAAAATTACTAGCATTTTCATTTTAAACATATAATATATGTAGATATATGTGTGCGGGTGGTGTGGAAATAGGGCATACAGCGGTAATTATTTTCTGGGGGCTTTTAAAACGTACATTAAAACATATAGTTGGCTTTCCTTTCTCGTGTTTCAGCGGCAAAATAGTGAATAATAACATATAAACGGCTAACAATTAAAATGCATAAAACAAAACAAAAATTAACGTTTACAAACAGTTCTTTTGCACTGCCCTACCGCAAACCACATCTAAGTTATAATAGTAGGTAATAAGGATAATTGTAGTTGTAATCGTAGTAATAGCTAAACATAAATGGTGTGGCTTGAAAGTAAATTGAATCACAAAATTGGCGCAATTTAGCAAGTTTGTTCAGTTGTAGCGGTATAGCAATGGTTAGCATTAACTAATTACGTATCACTGGTTCAATGTCTGCTCAGATAGATATAGCTGTAGATATCACGTCTTTTTGGGGCATCGCACATATCGCAACACCGCATATCCCAGGCAGCGGAATACCAGGAAGAACATCATCAGGATCAGCGTATTCAGCCAGAGCGGTGATGTCGAGTTTTGAGCTTTGAGTATTTCCTCGTATGGAATGAATTCGGTTGACTGCTGTTTGCAAATCTCGTAACTGCTGGGCGATCCACAGCTGCCAAAAAAAATACATTAATTATTTGTTGTGTTTACTAATTGTTATCACAATAGTTTAATTTTAAAATCAGGATTTAACTTTGAGAAAGCTTTGTTATAATAACCCAGATAAGTCTGTATAACTCACCCTATAGCAGCGCCCTCGCGGAACTCGAGAATCTGCATGTTCTGGTAGGCGTAGTGGATCATGGAGGTGTATCGTATCCAGCTGAGGCCCTCCGGAATGCGAGACGACAGGTAGCCGCCGAATAGCTGGGTGGCCAGCGTGTACAGAGCACTCAGGGTGATGCTCACGTTCATGTCCATGCAACAGGCTCCGATGAAGAAGCCCACGCTCTGGGCCACAATCGTGTTGATCAGCAGGAAGATGAGCATCAGAAAGAACAGCTTTATGCTGTGAATATTTTAATAATAAGTAAGACATTTCCTCATGTTCGAGACTGACTATACTCACCTAGTGCATCCCAGCATGGGATAGCTGATCATGAGGTAGACCGTGGGCAGGGTGATTACCAGGGGCAACTCGGCACACATTTTGGCCAGATAATAGGCAGACAATCTATAGGCCCCGGAGCGACGTTCCTTGCTCACCACCTCTCGCTCCGAGGGGACTGTAAAATTCAAAGAAACACTTTAGTGATGATGATTTTAAATGAATGTCCCTCAAAACCTACATGAATTGAGGGCTCCGAAGAGGGCGAAGAGCATCCAGTAGGTCTGGGAGAAGAACATCCAACCCTGAAGGTCGTGTAGAAACTCCTCTGTCCGCGGCAGCTGAAACCAGATGGCACCGGCCATCAGGGCTAGTCCAATGGTCTGGAACCAATTCAGCTTGGAAAGCATACGCGGCTTGGCCTCCTTAAAATTTCGGCTCGAGAGGACGCAGAACTGGGTGTGGAAGCTAGTGGGGTAGGACAGCCAGTCATCGTCTTCGGAGTGTCCAGGCCCACTGCCCGCACTGTACGAATGGCAGTCGCTGGAGGCGCAGGAACTGAAGTTGGACTGCGAATCGGCGGCACACCACACCAAATGCTGGGCCGCCTCCTCATCCTCCTCCACCTGGCAGCCACCGGTCGTGTGGTGCAGATTCTCGTACTGATGGAGGTGGCGTTTGGATCGGTGGTTATAGTAGTTATTAATAATATCGTCGATCAGTATGCTGTCCACCTGCTTTTTGCCCTTCGCCTCCGAATCGCTGGTCTGCTGGTGGTTGTGGCTGCTAGTGATGCAGTTGCGGTTTAGATAGTTCCCGTGCGACTCCTTGGCGGCTATAAAGAGCTTCTCGCGTATGTCCGGATGGGACTTAAGTTGCTCCACTGGAAAATAAGAAAAAATGGTTTAGATTCGATATTCATGCTTCTAAAAAAACACTGCCAAAAAAAATAACAAAATTCAAATTTTCACTTGAGAAATTTAAAAAATTAAAATGATAAATATTGAATTTGATATCAAATTGCTGTAGGCCTACACAAGTGAGACGTTTAAGGTACAAAAACAGGGCCAATTTTAAACTTTAAGCCTTAATAAAGGTTTACAATTTAAACGCAAGAATACAGTTGTGCTTTAAATGATCTAAACTTTTTCTCTTTTCAATAACCTGGACTTACACACAAAATCGGCGGGATTGTAGTGCGGCTTGATGGTGACCCCGATGTCCTCGAAGTGGCGGTAGATGTTGTGCACGTCCCCAAAATAGGCTGTGCGCCCCTGATGGAGCAGTAGCAGTTTGTCGAACATATGGAACATCTGGGAAGACGGCTGGTGCACGCTGATCACGATGGTCTTCTGCTCCAGCTGCGCATATCGCTTGAGGACCTTCATCAGCGAGATGGCCGAGTGGCTGTCTAGTCCAGAGGTGGGTTCCTGCGAAAGATCACCCACATTTGTTCCTTAAATCAATACCTTTGGAGCAATCCAATAACTTACATCCAGGAGCATGAGCAGCGGGTTGGTGAGCAGTTCGCAGGCAATATTCGCCCGCTTTTTCTCG